TCGTAGTGGACGGTAATTGCTCGGACTCCGAATCCGTAAACTCCGGTGTCCCACAAGGCTGTATGCTATCGCCTACGCTGTTGCTCACCTGATGGTAAGTTATCACCGTCGCCCATAGACACCTGCAACACCAGTCCCTGTAGCATGAGCAACAAAGTTTATAGTAATTTGACAATTGAGCGTGATAACAGCGCGTTATATATCATATCGCGGTGTTCATGCTAAGGAGGCAGGAGTATCACAAATACGATGCCGGCCTTTGAGGAAGGAGTAAGCTCTGTTTTTTATGGTTTTCAGGTCCTATTCGTCCGAAAACATGCTGGTGACAATGTATTCCACAGTTTTATCGTACGAGGTAAAAAAAAATCGTCAAAATCGCAAGGTCGTGGATAGCCACGCTTCAAAATGGTGGAGATGCAATTTTTGTCGCGATGTACGATAGCAAAAAACAACAGCGGGTATTAACTGAATAATTCCTCAGAACACTCCCCGTGATAAATGCGATAGAAAATGTAGAACTAAGTTACATCTCTGCGCAAAGCCAAAGGATCAAGCTTATCGGGAAGGTTCTGGTCGTCGATAATTCTAGCCGCTCGTCGCTAGATGCTATACAGAGGCAGAAGCTGGTACTGGGATGCCCCCCCGCAAAGCGCAGTGTTTTTATTTGGCCCAAAAAAATCCCTCTTCTGTTTATTGCTGTAATTAGTCAAGTGTGATATTTAAAACATACGAGTATAGCTATAATTTTTTGATAGTCACAGGTCGCCTTTTTATGGAAAAAAAAATAAAATAAAAATCAAAATCTATAAAAAATATACGTCTTATTCAGACCTGGAATTAAAAAAAAACAATTGCAGAACACAAAATGTGTTCTATTACACCATATTTATTTCCAATAAATATCTTTGTCAGTTACGCTTCCAGAATTTATTTTAACGTCTTTTCATGATGAGGTCACGTAAAGTTCATGTTTTTTTTAAACGGTTTTATTTAGCTCACCCCGTTTGTTTTATTCTTGGGTCAAATTTAGTAATTCAAATTTCACCCTCTTCCTGTCAACCGATTAATCTGAAATTTTGTATACACTTTGGATTTTGGTGACAATACAATTATGTTTATTCATTATCATTATAAATTCAAGATGGCCGCCGCTACAAAATGGCGGATAATTTATGTTTTATTAATCCCATCGATATGGGTATCAAATGAAAGGGCTCAACAAGCAGAATACAATATACTATAAAAAATTGAAATCCAAGATGGCGGCGTCGCTCGTACTTAAAAATAGGTAAAAAAACTTTTTAAGTTAAACATACATTGCAATGTTTAAGATAAATGTACTAAAAACCAAAAAATAATAAAATAGATACAGTCGTGGGAATTATAAACATATGCATAGACTAGACTAAAATAAAACCGTGGGGCACGTCAATTGTCTACAAATTATAGACTTAATGTGCGATAGAAGAATAGTTTAATTCGTCGTTAGGAAGTTGGCCCGCAGACGGTGAGGAAATTACTATTTTCTTGCTCATGGAAATTCCAATACGTGACCAAAAATTTACTATCTCGAGCTCCAACTCCAGATATGTAGGTACACAGGTATTTGATTTTGGTTTCGTCGCTTGCGTTAAAATCGAAATGGAACAACTAACTTTCATTCGGTTGAACCCAAGGAACTTATATAAGTTTCTTGGTTGAACCAAGCCAAACTGCGTTCGAAGAGTATAATTACGTGATGCAATTTTTTTAATCTAAGGGTGCAATTACCACCGAAGGAGATGCACTAACGTTATTCCAAGATTGACTACTATCAATAAAATAAGGGCTTGTCTTTGTTGCGCCATGTAATGAATTTTCAGCTGACATTAAATATGAGGGTTACATTGCTGAACGATCAATCTATAGAAGATTTCTCCAAACTATTGCTAACTATGGTAAAATCTGTGTTTCTGCCGAACGGATAGCTTTCATTTCTTCCAAATTATTGTAATCAAATAAAATAATTCTCATAGTCAGTTTTAAAGTTTTACAGTTGTGGGTAACTTGACCTGTCTGTACATACCTAATACATCTACACACATACATTTTATTATTATATTTAAGTTTTGGCTCTTACTTAATTCAATAATCGTGTGCACTTTAGTGAAGGTTATCATCAGTGCTAGCCACTATCAATATTTGAATATGAACGGGACTTTTTATGACTCACACCACGCAACGTTCTTGGTTCTTCCCCGACGCTGACACACAGCGCGTCATTTGACCTTGCAAAACCTGTGTTGCTACACTGTTTGCTTTTACCCTATATAAGAGGTAAAACAAAACGGAATACCAATGTAAATGTAAATAGGTATGTGCTTGCAGACTTCTACGTCACTAATTATCTACTCAGAGTCATCAATATAAAATGCAATGCTGAACAGATATTGCCGGTATCATATATCTTGAAACTTGTGAACTTGAAATCGTGGGCAGCTAGTTATAAATAAACCTAGTAAAAAAAATAACACGACTGCCGATAAAAATTGAACTAAAAAAAGTAAAACATAAGTACCATTTTCCGAATAGGACGGAATGTTGATATATTTTTTTAATGCAAATGGAACTTTTACGGGCATCTTCTCATTAAAAAATATTACCCCGACGGCATAAAAAATGTTATTTTTTTTAACACTTGGCACAAAACACTGTAAATATAACAGACGTTGACAACCTATGTACCTCGTCACAGTAAGAACTCAAAATGGCGGCAGACAGCAAATAGGCATTTCAAAGAGGTCACTTTATAATGTTGCCGTTATTAGTTCAGGCAAACATAATGATGTCTTTTGTCGTGTGGAGTATTGTAGGTTAGTTAAAATGAGATGGCTACAAGTATATGAGTACAATGTCGATAACAATCATATAACAGATATATAGTATAACAGATTGTTCATATAGAATACTATTGCATCTCCATAGTTTTAAGTACTCAGAGGTCACGTCACAATATCTCCTTAGCTCATCTATAGATAAGACCTGTGCCACAGCAGTGGGGACTCCAATAGGTTGATGATGATAAAAAATATTTTTTAATTCGAATTTTCACCTTCGGCTATTTAATTACTAAACAGATTAATGAAAATTTAGATTTGGAAAATAATAAGCTACCCAAATTACTAATTCCACGCGGACGAAGTCGCGGGCAAAAGCTAAATAATAAATTTAATAATGACTTCAATAATAGCGATACAATCACATAAAGGATACAATAGCAGAATGACATGACAAGTATAAAATACTTCCGAAAGAGGACGCAATCAATTTGTTCAAGCACCTTTACTTCTTATAAAAAAAAATGCTGGTACAAATTAATTGCGTCATTCTTTGGGAAATATTTTATCCTAGTTATGTCATTCTGCTATTGTATCTTTTCTGAGATTGTACCGCTTATATCTGTAGGTGCTATCTGTATATTTTTGTTTTTGGGGATTTTCTCATAAAGCTCAGAATCAATTTGAATAAAATTTATACGGGACCACCTCAGAAGTATAATCTTACGGTTACAAAAAAAAATTAAAAACAATGTTCCCATAGTATAAGCTGTGCTTAGATTGGGAATATAATACAGTTTGTCTATAAAGTCGTGACATTAAATGATGGTGCCACTATTATGCATGTAGCAACCCTTTATAGTCTGACCAAAATGATTTTGATACTAGTAGTTCATTCAAGTAAAATAGGTAATTAAGACACACTATACAGTCGTATTTGTTTCTGTTTCATATATAGTAGGTACCTATGCTTATAAAAAGTTTAACCAAGCATATTTAACTGAATCAGAATAAAATTATTATAGATAAAATAGTACAATATAGTGTACAAGTGTGTAATGTTGGTGATTACCGCTGAGGTGCCAGTAAGACCAGAGCCGTTAGGTAATCATCACGTCGACGTTTTTTAACACACTTGTTAAGAAAATAATAGTAAAAATCATTTTATAGTATACATATAAAAAAGTTTATTTAGAGAAACAATTTGTAAATATGCAGTTTGTAAAATTAGTGATAGGTATCTTCACTAAAAGCATCTGGCCATGGTTCTCTATGTGACCACTTCTTTCTTAGGTCGGCCTTGCCTGTGTTTACCAGGAGTTTCAAACTTTCCATCATTCTTCGTTGACTATCCACCTAACTGTACTCTCTGATTTTCCTGAAAAAATAGAAACAATAACTTATTGACATGAAGCAATTAATTCAAAATTGGTAGAAAACCTGACTGAGCTGTACCATCCTAACGTATCAAAAGAAATGGTCTTACTACAATATTACCTATTTACAATGTTAATCTAACCTAAAAATGTGCAATGTAAACAATGCTTTTTGTGGTCGCAAAATCGTAAATTGAGTAAATTTGAACTTTAGGCAGTTTACAAACAAATAGTTACATGATTACATACCCGTCGTAGATGTTGTTCGCCCATAAACATCATCCAAATCCCACAAATTTCGTCCAGCTTGGTACTCCGCGAAACTTAGCTGGAAAACTTTAAAATCACTTCCCGCGTGCCACTCTGATTTACTTTTATACCTCTCATACTCATTTTTACACCTTTCTGCGTAGTTTCGTCTTAATTTATTACAGTTTGATCCAAACAATAAAAAATACAAAAGGAAAACTGTTTCACAACTCAAACTCGATGACAGCTGATGTACATAAGTTTGGTGTTACCAGACACATGAATAATGATAGTTCCTAAAACATTCTTGTTACGACTTTACATATGTACATGTGAATTATACGGATTTTTAATTTGTAGAATAATTTGATTATTATACGTACCATGATATTTATACCTCACAATAATTAAGATCTTTAAGCGGACACAAACTTAGAGCACATATAAATTCTCTAAGACAAAGAATTCAAAGAACGATAGTTACTGGAAAATGTAATTTTGGGAAAATGATTTTTCGGGTAATTTTTAGATAATGCTGATCACTCCATAATGGCTGCAATGCAAGCAAATTTTGCACAGTCTGTACAGCCGACGATACGTCAAAGTAATAGTAATTGTTGTTGATGATACATTGCATTCATAGGTTGTCAGTAAATGAATTTTATAATTTAGAGACTTTCAACCAGTTTCTTCTTATTGTAAGATTATAGGAAGTGATTAGAAGACAAACTTTAGTAAAAAAAATTTATTGTGTGGCCTTTGTGATTGTTGATATTATTCTTAGTGGAAATGTAATTTAGTGTTTTAGTGTGATTTTGACTTTGAACAACTGTTAGCTAATAGCTAGATCAGCAAAGTGTAGCAATGTCAGCAAGTGACGATACTGAGTCTTATTATATTGAGTCTCCATTGTCTCAATTTGATTCTCCATATAGCTCTCCTTCTCAACAAGTGCCACAGCTAGCTTCATCAATGACAGGTCTAAGTTGTGCTGATGGTAAGTAAATTTTATGATAAGTTTAATAGTAAGTGCACCCTGTTTTATCTTCTCTATGACTGAACATTTAATGCAAAAATAAATAGCATTACATGAAGGCGCAATTTATTTCATTTTCATACAAAAAACTTTTTTTCTTAAAAAAATGGTCTCAAACTGAAAAGTTATTGATTTACAAATACAGTTTTACTTTTTTATTTTCGTTTTTTAACTGACTTCAAAAAGGAGAAAGTTCTCAATTCGTCATTAAATGTTTTTTTATTGTTGTTCGCGCATATCTCCGCAATACGGTGACAGATTTTGATAATTATTTTTTGTTTGAATCAGTTTTTTAAGCGAAATGGTTCTGTATTAATTTGGTAAGGATCTGATCATTACTTTCATTGAAAATAATGGACTCATTAATTATAAACAGTACTCAATTCGTGTTTGGTTATTTTAAGAGATAATGCAGGCCAGGTACCAAGTACTTTGTAAATCTTGCTCTGGCTTAGAGAAAGAGTAAAATTAAAAACATTTTTAACAAAAATAGTTTAAAAACTCTTAACTTAGCCAGAAGCTATGGAAACTCCTTTTTGAATTTTTAAATTGAAGTTGAATGTTTGAGTAAATCCTACTAAAATATAAGTTCCAACTTTCAAGTCTATTTTGAGTAACTTTAAGTACTTTCGTAAAGCTGAGTTATTTTTTTTATTAAAACAACATTCAAGGCAATTATGTCACAAAAAAAGACTGTAAAATACCTACTACAAAAAAAGACATGAATTTTTGAAACCATGCTGGCAGAAATCATTCAAACTACACAAAAAAAATATAACTCAAAAACTAAGAAAAATTGTGGAACATAAATAGGGTATTTTCGGATACTCCCAGGTGCGAGGAATCTAAAAAAACATTTGTTGACTTCACTAATTGTACTACCAGTATATATCCTAAAAGTAGTTTTATTTCCAATAATGAATTTATGACAACAAAGTTTAATGGTAATAAGTATTTTCTTTTAGTAGAAATATAACTTGAATCAAAGTCTGAATTTTTATAGTGTTGTGGATCCGGACCAATCCACTATTTTCAGTTTGTTCAATGAAGCGAGGGTGTTGGTAAATGAAAACCTGATGCGTAGTTGAATTAAATGTGTCTGGTGTAAAAAATTTACAAAATAGTACAAACACAGTTTTAATAGCATAAAAGTAATTGCGTAGTATTTTTAGAACGAAAACCACAGAAGATATTGGTTGAAGCACATAGACTAAAAAATCACTTAATAGAAAAACATAGGCTGATCATTTTAATTTAAGTAACAAAATACATCCGCCACAATAGTAAATTTTATCAGGTTAATTACAATAATATTGTTCTATCATTTAAGAACTTCTAATTTTATTACAAATATATCCAGCAGCCGAAAATGCTCTCTCAGCTTCTACACTCGTTGATGAAATGCTTAGCATATACCTAGTCTGGTCATAAATTCCGTCACATGTAATAATATGTAATAAAGAACCTTATTATATGATCAAATTTAAATAATAAGAAAATACTAAATAGAACATGCGCTCCTTCTTGCTAGCGAGCCCGCAGGGTGCTGAGTGTGGGAAGCGAGGTGAGATTTTCTCCTGATGATGACATTATTAGGGACAAAGATGTAGCAGCCTAATTGAAATTTCTTGGACTGATGATAACATTTTAAAATCGGGGTAAAATCATGGCTATAAAGTGGGCACCCCCACTTAAAAAAAAAAAAGTAAAACGGTGCAAATTTCGAACTAATTAAGGACAATTTAGGACTGCAAGAAAAAAAGTTCTGACCACCCCCTAGTTCAAGATATTCGAAATTTTCAATGGGGGTGCTAACTGGGAATTAACTTAGCGCCCCCACTGCGTTTTAATGTTTAAAACACATTGTTTATACATCAAAATTTCGAGCTAATTAAGGACAACAAAATTAACAACATCCCAACCCCGATTTTCAACCCTCTACCCCTTTATCGGCAAAAACATGAAAAGAAAATGAAATAGCAATGCCATTTTCAATAAAAAATATAATGCAACTTACTTTTGATTTTCAGAGTAATGTGCAACTCAAACACACCCTTTATTTCAACCCCCATTCGTCAATCTGTGAAAATTGTCATACTACTTCATATTTTCATAGTTTGACGGATGAGGGATGAAATTAAAGGTGGTTTTAAGTTGCACATTACTCTAAAATTTAAAAGTAAGTTGCATTATATTTTTTTTTGAAAATGGCATTGCTATTTCATTTTTAAAATCCTTTTTATTCATGTTTTTGCCGATAAAGGGGTAGGGGGTTGAAAATCGGGGTTGAGATGTTGTTAATTTTGTTGCCTTTAATTAGCTCGAAATTTTGATGTATATAAACAATGTGTTTTAAACATGAAAACACAGTGGGGGTGCTAACTTAATTCCCAGTTAGCACCCTCATTGAAAATTTCGAATATATCGAACTAGGGGGTGGTATGAAATTATTTTCTTGCAGTCCTAAATTTGTCCTTAATTAGATTAAAATTTTGAAATATAAAAACATTGTTTTCTAAACGCTGGAATGCAATGGGGGTGTTGTCTTAATTCACAGTCAGCACCCGGATCGAAAATTTCGATTATCTTAAACTGGGGGGTGGTCTGAAAATTTATTCTTGCAGTCCCAAATAGTCCTTAATGAGTTTGAAATTTTGACGTATATAAACATTTTTTACTAAAAACTGGAATGTAGTGGGGGTGCTAACCTAATTCACAGTCAGCACCCGCATCAAAAATTCCGAACATCACAAATTGGGGGTGCTCTGAAATTCTTTTCTTGCATTTTTCATTAGTCCTTAATTAGCTCGAAATTTTGACGTATATAAACATTCTTTTCTAAACACTGAAGTTTGTTAAAACTAAAAAATGTTTATATACGTCGAAATTTCAAACTCATTAAGGACTATTTAGGACTGCAAGAAAAAAATTTCAGACCACCCCCCCGTTTTAAGATAATCGAAATTTTCGATCCAAGTGCTGACTGTGAATTTAGTCAGCACCCCCATTTCATTCCAGCGTTTAGAAAACAACGTTTATATATTTCAAAATTTTAAACTAATTAAGGACAATTTAGGACTGCAAGAAAATAATTTCAGACCACCCCTAGTTTGAGTTATTCGAAATGTGTTTTCATGTTTAAAACATATTGTTTATATACATCAAAATTTCGAGCTAATTAAAGACAACAAAATTAACAACATCTCAACCCCGATTTTCAACCCCCTACCCCTTTATCGACAAAAACATGAATAGAAAGGATTTTAAAAATAAAATAGTAATGTCGTCGTCAATAAAAAATATAATGCAACTTTTAAATTTTAGAGTACTTAATGTGCAACTTAAAACCACCTTTAATTTCATCCCTCATTCGTCAAACTATGAAAATATGAAGAAGTATGACAATTTTCACGGATTGACGGATGGGGGTTGAAATAAAGGGTGGGTTTGAGTTGCACATTACTCTGAAACTCAAAAGTAATATATTTTGCATTGCATTATATTTTTTTTTGAAAATGGCATTGCTATTTCATTTTTAGAATCCTTTCTTTTCATGTTTTTGCCGATGAAGGGGTAGAGGGTTGAAAATCGGGGTTGGGATGTTGTTAATTTTGTTGTCCTTAATTAGCTCGAAATTTTGATGTATATAAACAATGTGTTTTAAACATTAAAACGCAGTGGGGCTGCTGACTTAATTCCCAGTTAGCACCCCCATTGAAAATTTCGAATATCTCGAACTAGGGGGTGGTCGGAAATTTTTTTCTTGCAGTCCTAAATTGTCCTTAATTAGTTCGAAATTTTCACCCGTTTTACTTTTTTTTTTGAAAGTGGGGGTGCCAACTTTATAACCATGGTAAAATCTGTTTTCCTAGTAGGTTACAGGGGAAGCAGTATTGGGAAGGTTAGGAAACACTGCTATAGAACCTTTACATCCAGGTTAGTTGATATTCGATAGAAGGCAAAACAAACGCTACGTTCATTTTAAACAGTGTAAGTGTATTGTTTCAAACCATGCCCTATTTTATTTTACTGCCGGTTCTGAGTTCTGGGTATGAACAGTGTTTTGTTTAACAACAGAGCTAACTTAAGCTTGTATCGTACCATTCGTACCGAAAACGGATACAAGTTGTACTTGTGTTATTTTGATAACCAAACATATAAATTAGAATAATAAGAGGCAGAAGAGTCACGTAACAGGTACAAAGCATACCAGTTTTGTTACCCTTTTATGCTGTTGCTGTTGAGATTTGGCGAATGTAGAATGAGCACACATTGCAACTTATTTGTAAATAGGTCTGTTAATTTAATGTATACCCATTCGATCAATAATTCTATAGATAGAACGGGTCAGCGCGTAAAATCTGTCTCAGTAAATATAAATGCAACCCGTTATCTATAAAATTGATGATTGGAGTTATACCCCTAAATTTTTGATATGTAAAATCTTTCCTCTCGCTTTCCTGCAATTTGTGGGAGTGAGTTCGTGAAATGGACGGAAGTGTGTAACAGGAAGTCGCGAAAGCGCGCACTAATTTTAAAACATATTTTTCAAATGGCTTATTCCTTTTGTAGTAGGTTTTATTTCTTTTTTTACTAATATAAGGTGAGGTTTCAAATGTTACACATCATACGCGACTACTGTAAGGCTCGCTCGTTTTTTTTATAAAACTCATTAGTGGCCGCCTGCGACTTCGTACGCGTGGAGTTAGAAATAAAGGTTCTGCTAGCTGCTGCTGCTAGTTCCCCGTAGGTGATAGCGTGATAATATGTAGCCTATATGTTGACCCGACTTTTTAATAATGTTTGTGGCAAATTTGAAGTAAATCCATGCAGTACTTTTTGAGTTTATCCCGGACAGACAAACAGACAAAAATTCTAAAAAACTATATTTTCGGCTTCGGTATCGGCACCCCAAGTATTCTTTTAAAAAATATTCAATGTACATTTTTAACATTCCTACCATTTTATTATATGTATAGATAGCACAGCACCGATTACCCTGGCCCCAAAGTAAACATCGTAAGGCATGTGTTATGGGCAGCAGCGTTGCCATACATTTCTCGTGCATGGCGGGATTTTGAAACATTTTGAGTAAAAAATAAAAAAGCGGGATTCTTACGTCGAAAGCGGGACTTCAATGTATGTAATTTGTATTTTTTTTATTGCTTGTTTAAGTTTTATTTTCTAAACAATTGATTTTTTTACCATTACTGCAAGAACAAGCACTTTTCAGTCATACGACGGCACTCAAGAGACGTTACCTTTCGATTAAGTTTTACTTACTACTTATGTACGATTCATAATGTTCTTACGAAACTGGATATATCGGTACCCTTAGTAGGAGTTTGAGCTCACGAAAACTATCATAGTTTTCGTGATTGTAAATTATGTTTCTATGTCCATTTTGGTGAAATGTAACCAAATATACTCAAAATTTAAGAAGACGCAAATGATTTAATGATAGAATTTAAACACTGTTTATTGGTATTGAATCGAAAACAATAAAATCAGTACCCTTAGTACGAGTGCGAGCCCACGAAAACTGTCATAGTTTTCATAATAAAATTGTAAAACTCGTAGGGTACTGGACATATCGTCGAGTAATCCGAAAAAACGGTCAGAGGACACGTAATTTTTAGCTAAACTGGTAACGGATAGATTAAAAATCTATATATTATTATTTATAGCTATTAACGGGATTGTTACCATGTACCTTGTATTTTATGAGTCTCCGATATTTCGGCACTGTTGCAAGCGCCATGATCACGGAGTAACTGAAGTAATTGCGGGTAGATGTTATTGGCAGACATATCGGTCTACCCTCTGACGTCGTCTTTTACTGCGCTCGATACCCCTACCATTGGTCACATTCTCACGACGTATGTGCAAAAACCATAAAAATCAAAAAAGTGTCGTTCCGCGATCGGATACTGTGAGTATTGTGTGTCGGGAACAGGTGCGAGTGAATAGTGAGAATGTGACCAATGGTAGGGGTATCGAGCGCAGTAAAAGACGACGTCAGAGGGTAGACCGATATGTCTGCCAATAACATCTACCCGCAATTACTTCAGTTACTCCGTGATCATGGCGCTTGCAACAGTGCCGAAATATCGGAGACTCATAAAATACAAGGTACATGGTAACAATCCCGTTAATAGCTATAATGTTAGTGACCATGAAAGTTTAAAACAATATATTATTATTATTTATATAAAGAACCGCTAACAAGTTTACAATGATATTTGCTTATACATATAATCTAAAGAGTTGTTGGTTATTGCAAACCCAACATTGATGGTTTCATTTTACAGCTTTATTTTCATTATAGTGACAACAACTTAACATAATGTTTTTAATATAGTTTATGCATAAAGTAAGTGACTAATTTAACAAATGGTTAATGGATAAGCTTTGCTTTTCAGAGTTATTATTAAAAAAAGTACTACTACTACTACTATCGTTATTTAAACAGCAATGCCTCAGTTACAAATGCGTATTCATTATAGGTGTGAACATTTGCCAAACGCACCGGGATTCGAACCTAGAACATCTAATTAGACACCATCTTGAAAATCGGTGTCAGCATCACTACAACATCGTCGTCGTCGCAAATTATAATTAAATTATAATTATAAAATTAATATTAAAGTTTTTATCCATGTTAATTGTACTCGTATGTAACCGACATCCGTCGTACGTGGAAGTCCTTAGACGTCAACATTTTTGTTATCACCTTATACATATTTAAATACTTCATGATCATCATGACATCCAATCCGGCCTGTGCTTGACAGAGGATGCTTTAATTTAGGCTCTATTGCGTACGACGATGTTTATTCAAGCAAGACGCATGTTAAATACTATGCCAAGTTTTCTGGGAAATATTAAATATCAGCACTATTTTAGCGTATGTAACTTACAGCGGATCGTTTTTGGCCGACGGAATATCACCATATCAGTTAGATAAAGAATTGATAATCATTAGTATTTGTGTTGTACTGTGTTGAGTTTTGTGGTTTAAAATTTACAAATAAATAATTGGCACTTATAATTAGATAATTTTGATCTGTCTATAGTTTTATATTTTCTAGTTAAAGACTTAAAGACATCCTAAATCGTTACAAGTTTCCTGTTCCGTTTTGTGACAGCAAATAACATCTTAGTTCATTCGTGGAACTGAAATGTTTTGACAGCTGATAAAGTTATGTACATACCCAGCTAATCAGTGTCTACAAAATATCAACAAAAATGATGATCGCAGACATTTTAGGACTAGGTACTTTCTGTATAAAATATTTTATATCATCTAATAGTATATTCCTAGATATTGCAAAATACCAAATAAACTTTTTTTTTACAGGAAAACCTCAGCTTCGAATTCTGGAGCAGCCACAGAACCACTTTAGGTTCAGATATAAGAGTGAAATGGTCGGTACACACGGTTGCCTTCTTGGCGAATCTTACGCCAATAGCAAAACAAAAACTCATCCCACTGTAGAGGTATGTAAAATTACGAATTTATTTTTATTTTATTTTACCTATTAAGAAAACCAACAGCGTATACATCAACAACAACCGATAGTATTTCACATGTAAGTATGGCCAATTACAGGTTTCCCTTAAGTTAAAAATAGCAAGTGTACATTAGAGATGATGAATTATATGCCAAAGAATAAATTACGTAACAGCCTCGAGAAAAAAATAAAAATATATAAATACAACATACAAACAAACAACTCCAAGGAGTTTTGACATGTAGACATACTAAATGTCTTACTTAAACACACTCGCATACCTGTAAATACATACATACACACTCACATACATAGACAGAGACACAGATACAGACACTTACTCTTAAAAAATATATACCTACATAATAAAGTACCTAACATGAACCCTGTCAGGGTATCGCAATATAGATAAAAATTACAAAAGAGAATTTAGCAAATAAACAATTATCTACATGAAGAACCTAATTTTAATTAAACAACTTTTTTTCTCAAAGCATGCATAAATGTCATCTGATTTCATTAATTTTATAACTTGCTCAATTGATCTTATTTACAGTACTAGTATAATTTTGTAATTATTATTATGGAAATTCGTTTATAAAATTAAATTTGTCAATAATTAAAATTAATAAATATGTCAATAAACATGATTATAATAATCTAGGTTTGTATTTTAAAGATCGCCTCATTAATATTATTTTGCTGCAAAGTATTCATCTATGGTGTAAAAGCATTTATCTAATAAATATATTTTCAATTTTATCCTAAATTGGTTAAAATGTTTTTCGTTTTTTATGTGAGCGGGTAATTTATTATAAATTTTTATACACATATAATATGGACTGCTACTAAGTTTTCTCAATCGAGATGGTGGTAAATATAATCGATTTTTGTGCCGTTTATTTATATTATGTGTTTCGTCAACTTTTTTAAATACGTCTAAATTTTGATGTACGAATAGTGACATATCACTATTCGTATATATCCATCCATATATATCCTAGACATATCTAGGATATATATGGATGGTAAAGTCAGGATTTTGTATTTTATAAAATACTAGTTGACCCAGCGAACTTCGTACCGCCCTAAAAAAATAGGGGTTGTCCAGCGGACAAAAAATCTAAACCATTCTCAGATCCCCTTGAACACACGCAAAAAATTTCATCAAAATCGGTCCAGTCGTTTAAGAGAAGTTCAGTGACATACACACTCACAGAAGAATTATATATATAAAGATGGTCTGCAGCTTTCCGTATTGTCTATGTGGGCTATGATTCGTATACATTTCTTTTGCATTATAAAGAGCTCGTTAGCAGTTGTGCCGTTTCCCCATAGCATTATTCCGTACCTTAGCCATGAATACGCATATGCATAATACGCAGATAACGCCGTGTCTGTATTTGTACATTGTTTTAATTGATAAAGAGCATATGTGAACTTAGCAAGCTTACATTTAATGGATTCTACGTAGGACTTCCAATTTAAGTGCGTGTCAATGGTCATACCGAGCAAATTAAACGATTTTACAGTTTCGAGATCTGCGTTTCGATATTTTTTTAAATTTAAAGGAGGCTTCCCGTATGATCTAAACTCCATAACTTTAGTTTTTTCGTTATTAATTTTTAAATTATGATTTTGTAATTAAAGCGTTACTAATTCTAGGGTTTCGTTTGTTATTTGACTCATATTACCAACACTATTACTTTTTATTAAAATTGATATATCGTCGGCAAAAAGTACAGGTTGTACAGATTCGCTAATCAAAAATTTAGGTAAGTCGTTTATGTAGGTTAAGAATAGCATACATCCCATAATATTTCTATACTCACTTATTCATTGATCAGACACTGTTTAGTGTTTTAACAACCTTCATTTTAAATTTGTCCTTGCTATTTGAAAAGACGTCGATGCTACTAAAACATTGGTTATAAGCTTAGATTAAAACAAAAAGGGAAGACACGGTACGCTCATACTAGCATCAAATAAAATATGCTCCGACTCAACTACATAAGCAACTCTCACGCACGCACACTTCTGTAAATAAACATTCAATCGAGCGAGCGAGACAGAACTGTACCCCTAGCACGAACTATTATCGAATTCGAATAGTTTGCAAACCGAAATGTCAATGTCAAATTTTGTATGGAAACTTGAACAGCAGGCACAAAATACGTAACGAGAACTAAAAATCAGTACATATTTGACAATGACATTTCGGATTCGCAAACGATACGAATTTGATATTGGTTCGTGCTAGGCTTAGATTAAAACAAAAAGGGTAGCTACGGCACTAGCCTCACAAAAGTGAGTTTCTCGCAAAATGCATTGAGGCAGCTTTTTCGTTAAACAAGCTTGATGAAATCGCGCCAAGCAGGATTTTTTTTTATTGGCTCGCACGGTTTGTGTTTCAGCCACGACAGGAATCCAAAAAATTAAAAATATTATCCTGATCAGATCACTCACATTCGTTAGCACGAATGCGCCAACCCGCATATGTGGGACGACATTTGCGAATGCCTTCGCTAAGTTTTCACTACATTCGTGCTTTTCCAAGCTATGTCGGTTTTTTTAGCGCACATCAAATACGCAAATTGCTTAGTCTCCTACACATCAGGGGCGTGCCCATACCTTCAGAATAGGGTAAGCCCAAAGCTTCCAAAATTACTATACCTATCTTACTTTCTTGACTTGGGGAGCTTAAAAATTTTACGATTTGAATAAGATTTATTATTATTTTGTGTTATATTACAATGATATTAAATTTTAATTAATCAGTAGTTGACAATTATCTAGAAAGAGAGGCAAGGATTTTATTTAAGTGCATGAGTTACCATTAGGTATACGATTATACCTATATACGTTGGTGTCCATTCTGGCATGATTATCTAAACCTAAAACTAAATTTAACATCAGTCTCTTCTTTTCATTGTGTATAGAGAATGACAAGGATACACTGTTGTCAAATTTAATTTTAGGTTTAGAGGATCATGCCAGAATCCACACCAGTTTAGTATATTTCTTGGGGTTCAAGATTTTTTTAATACATCTATAAGCTCTTGCGATTTCAAAGCAATAGTTATTTCGATATTATTCAATTTAGATAGTCATAGCAGGTAAATTAATTGATACTATTGTGTTAAAATTTAGTCTACGAAATATCGATATTTTGGAATTTCCGATATCGATATTATCGATATCGGAAGCGGAAGCTGTTTGTTTTGAATCTTATTCGGTAGCGACGTCGAGTACTGGTTGCGTGATTGGTCGGTAGTGCAGTGACGCGGTTCTCGCCGTTTCGTTCGCGGTGCCGTTGAAACTTAACGTGCTGTTTCGCTCGGGTCGGTAATGCAGTGACGCGGTTCTCGCCGTCCCGTTCGCGCTACCGTGGGATCAGTTTTTGTTTGATGCAAGTATGAGCGTACCGTATCTACCCTTTTTGTTTTAATCTAAGGTGCTAGGGGTACTGTAAGCTTTAACGCAGCGCGAGCGAAACGACGAGACCGCGTCGCTTGATTGGCGACTGCGTTTTCTTTTCTCTCTACAAACGGTTGAGCTGTATTGATGTCCTTATCTTGATAACAAATTGCGATAAAGTAAATAAAATTCATAATTTTACGAATGACAAGTGTTGCCGTGAAAGAACATGGAGCAAAACGTACCCACCTTGTAGCACATTGAAATTGGTGCCATTAGAAAGGTCTTCGAAAGTGTATTAATTTACTGTATGGGAGCAACTTAGTAGCTAGCGGGAGATAAAAGATATCCGTCGTTGAATATGCCGAAAATTCTTAATAAAATCTCCCTACGCATTTCAAAGTTTTTGAGATTTTATCCTTTAAGTACTTAAAACTATATTATGCACTTGGGTCGGTTTGTCGTAAATAGTTATTATATTTCAGTATGCAACCGTTGCCGTCGGTCGGCCACAATTGATGAGTGAGTAGTACAGCTCAGAGCTGCAGAACCGACTTACATTCAAGTGCGAGTGAAACGGATAGTGTGTACTTAGTCGGTAACGCTACCGTTATCACCCACCAATCCACGCTGGGTCCGTTACCACCCACCAATCCGCGCTGGGTCCTATATCACCCACCAATCCGCGCTGAGTCCATTATCATCCACTAATCCGCGCTGGGTCCGTTAACATCCACAAATCTGTACTGGGTCCATTATCAACCACCAATCCGCACTGGGTCCGTTATCATCCACCAATCCGCACTGGGTCCATTGTCACCCACCAATCCGCACTGAGTCCGTTATTACCCACCAATCCGCGCTGGGTCCGTTAATATCATCCACCAATCCACACTGGGTCCGTTATCATCCACCAATCTGCACTGGGTTCGTTCTCACCCATCAATCCGCGTTGGGTCCATTATCAACCACCAAGCACTAGATTCATGTATTTTGTGACGGGTATTGTTCATTGTTTACCGATGAGTCACCGATGAAACTAATCGTAGCACATTCGCCAGTTTACCCCCCCAAGTCAAGCGTGCTTCAAAATGTCAAATTGTTATGACACTTGGCTTTTAAAAATGTAATAAAAAATTAGTCATATCTTCGGTACGCCATTCATTCGTTCATTAATTTTTGAGCTAGTAAATTATGTGTCTTTTAAATTACACCTAGTCTATAATGCTACAAGGTGGGTACGGGTTCCATACAAAATTACCCATTGTTCTTTGTTATTTGATCTAGAACTATTTGTGTTCTTTATAAAAACATCGAAGGCATTGTTTTATCTTTATAACACAGAATATACTCGTAATTGTTACATTGAGAGCACATGCAGCGTGTTTGAATGTACAATTGTGACTAAAGCGAATTGTGGTCATGCACCTCAATTTAAGCGGATCATTTTTGGGCCGCGAGTGCTGTATCTTCCCTTTTTGTTTTAATAGGCTGTTTGACGTTTTAATAACAGTCGTATGACTTCACATGCCTGTAAAACGTCTTATTGGCTAGAGGAACATTTCCGCGTACAAAAACCATTTCGAATATTACTTTTTATTAATTCATGTTATAATCACAAAGATAGCACTTCCAGCTTTTACAATAATGTAACGATATTATTGTATAACTAGCAAACCCGTGAACCAAATGTTCACCAAAAAAAAAAAAAGTATTTAATTAATTGAGAACTTCGGAGATTTTGTGTGGTTTCGTTTGAAATAGAAATCACGTGATTTCTCGAAAACCGGAAGTGCTACGTTACTCAAATCCGGTTTGTAGTCTTATCAGACTATTCTTAACTTATAACTTAAACATTCTCTATATCTATCTCTTACGGTTTGGCCGCTGAAACAGCACCACGGACGGACGGACGGACTTGTCTAATAGATAAGAGATTAGTTCACCCAACCGCCTTTAAAATATGATTTAGTGGAAGGCTGACAAATGTAGGGTTATAAGTATTTTTTATGTCCATTTATAAAAAATATGGCCCAAAAAGCTGGTGAGGGACACCTTTTAACCTTTCACCTACGGGAATAAAAAATAGCCTTTCGAACTATTCTCAGATCTATCCAATGAACACAAAAAAAAACGTGAAACTCGGTGAAGTCTTTTCGAAGGAGTTCGATAACAACAGTGTGTTTGTTACTGAACTCCTCCGAAAAAAGTTTCACCGATTTTTACGTTTTTAGGGTTCCGTTCCTCAAAAGGAAAAAACGGAACCCTTATATAGGATCACTTTGTTCTCGTCCGTCCGTCCGTCTGTCAAGACCGTTTTTCTCAGGAATGCGTGGAGGTATGAAACTGAAATTCATATCTAATACTCAGGTCTACTGTCCCTTGGAGCTGTGAAAAAAACAAACTTCACAGCCTAAGCAATCAAAAGATACAGCCGTTTATGCCGCAAATTTTCGAAACTCGCACGGGAATCAAAACCTACAGGGTACTTCCCGTGAACTTAGAATCTTGAAATTTGGTACGAAGTAACGTCTTATAGTACAGATAAAGGAAATTTGCGAAAACTGTAAATTTTTAGTTACATCATATAATAAAAAATATTTTTGAAAATTGGAACCCTCGGTGCGCGAGTCCGACTCGCACTTGGCCGGTTTTTTTTCTTGCTTTATTATAAATGACCCAAGACTTTCTTATAATATAGATACATCAATGAAATCGTAATAAATGTTGACTTGTCGTACAGTTGGTGAACTTCAGCGGGCGTGCCGTGATCAGATGTCGGCTGGCGCAACATAAGACGGCCGATGAGCACCCTCACAAACTTTTGGAAGAGGAGCAGGATAGAGACGTGAGCTATGTCGTCCCCGAACAAGGAAGCTACAAAGTCGGGTAAGTCGCCCAATGCTTCAGTACATTTGCGACTAATCAAGGGGAAAAAAACAAAAGCAATTAAAGGACAATGTTAAATTTGGCCTAAGAACCAACACCAATTTGGCATTTAAGATAATTCTTAGTATATTTTTTGCGATTATTATCAGTATTTGATTCTGACGGACACTTCTAGTTAAGTCAGCTATATTAAAAAGTTAAAAAATAATCTGAGACTACCATTTTATGTATATAATCTATGACAGCGCTGCAAACAAAACACTCTTTCTTCCTAATGCCGGTACTTCACTAGGCTATTCGTGTTTGCTTTTTGAAAACTTTACATCAGTCTGCCCTTTTTATTCCATATTAAGCATGACAAGGACAGTCAAGTGAAGTGGAGGCATAAAACTCGATACTGAGTGGTTGTGGTGCAGGCAGTTTGCATTCGTAGTAATCCGTGGCATTCGTGCATTCTCGTTTCGGATTATGATCTAAAGGTCTTTGTTACCAGGTCATAAAATTAAAAAAAAACTCGTTTCGGATTACCTGTTGTGTGTGTAAATTTGCGATTGTTTTTCCTTTAATTTAACTATTTCGGCTATCTAATATGCCATCGACGTTACCAAATAGCAGAGACCTTATTACCAAGTGCTAGAGCAGAACCTGTGCCACAACATCCTGAGAGGATCATACTGCCAATTATTCAAGAGCAGCTGATACACGTTCACGCTGCATATTTACACAATATACATTTGATATACAAATAAATATAATATGATACAATTATGTGAAAAATAGGTAGTAAAAAAATTTGAAGCAAAACTACAGTTTTTATTTTGTTCATGATACCTACCCAACCAAGTTTTTCCTAATAGTTATTCTTTAAATCGCACCGAATAAAAGTGAATTAGTTGTAATATTAATTCAATTCATACTGAGTTCATACTAAGTTCATAGGTTGACCTATGTTTCATTTAATATTAAACATAACCTCAAAACGTATTTAGTTTTCCCGATAATTTAAGTTCTCAGAAGTGTCCGTTAATAATCTTTGTTTTTACAGTCATTTACTTGCAATTTCGAACCTAGAAAATAATATTTCATGATTGTTGGTTCTTAGGCTAACAATGTATGGACGCAGAACAATGTCCTTTTAATAATGGAACATGGACAAAAACTTTTTATGGCCGTACTTTTATGGTTTAATTTTGGTAATAATGATATTAAAGTTCTGAAATATATTTTATTGTACACTTGGCAGCAAAGAAAGCGGGTTGGCATCACAGACCTCAATAACTTTCGAAATATTGGAGCTTGCTTATGAAATAAAAATTACGTTACAAACAATTTATTTTGCTCAAATAAAGGTCATAATAGATTACTATTTTCTTTAATAAATGTGAGTTAGGCATAGTTCTCATTTTTCACTAGATGGCGCAAAAATATGCTATGGTATCAAATTTAAAATGCAATTTTTACAATTTTAATTATAACCACTACGATCTGTTAATACAGTCTTTGATTTTTTCATTGCAAGCTTCGGGATGCTGTATTTCTGTTGTAGCCTCAACGCTTCGCAATCTAATGTAATCGTTTGTCCCCCTAATGCATGTTCACACACTGCATACTGAACATGCATTAGGGGGACCAAACCATTACATTAGATTTGATAAAACACAGATCCTCGCAACTGGACAACGATTCATTCCTAGAATGATACGCGAAGCTATTGAGATTAAGAAATATCGAAATTTCAATAGGGATGATGGTTGGTATATACCACCAGCTTGGGAACCCATTATATAACAGATAAAATCCCAACCCCGAGCACATACTGCAAGACCAATAGATACTGTAAGTTTTTTTTTGTTTGAATGATTTGATATAAGAAGGAGATAGAAAGCCTCTCTGAGTTTGTTTCGCTGGTTTTTCTAAGAAAGGTCTCCCAATTTTTTGTTGTAACCGGTGGTAGTTTACGGTAGTTAGGGTCAAATAAACTCAAAATTATAAAAAAGAATTAAATGAATTACTTTATAAATTAAATTTGCTAATAAATTCAAGCATAGACAATAAATCTTTAAAAATCTTTCAATGAAATATCCGAACGCTCAATAAAAGTCTTTCGAATGTAGCTCGACCAAGTAAATAAAAAATCATTATTTCTGAAGACGCAGGGCTGCAAAGGCTGCGAAACGTCAAATAAATAAATTCAGTGCATCTAACCCGTAAAAATTGTTTTATTTAATAATAATATTCTTTATTGTAATACACCATACAAGAAAACACAAGTAAATTAAAAAACATGATAGATAGAACGTACACAATATAGGCGGCCTTATTGCTAGGCAGCAATCTCTTCCAGGCAACCCATAATAGAAAGATAAATAAATATAAAGGAGAAAAGAAAGTTTGTTATAGAAAATAACAATAATATCAATGGCAGGAAAACAGATATATCTAATTACATCACTGTTGGGATAAGAAATAACTCCGAACTTAATCCCTGAACGCATCCGCAGATGCCAAATGCGGAAGCGTCGTTTTCTGCTTGAATAGGTACTTACTACTCAAGGAATTTAAATGTTTCGTAAATTCTCATAATATTAGCTATTTCGGCGAACGAGAGTAACAAACAAGCAAAATATAATTGCAAGCACGCGTCCAGTCTCATTTGCAACTCCAGTACTACTGATGCGTCAGCCGACGTGTAGACAGGCACGCCGCGCCGGACGTCCACCTGAATCCCTTTGTTGCGTGCCACAAAAACAAATACCTATAGGGTTGATGGCAGACGCATCTGCGGACGTCAAATACCTACCAAAGACGCGCAAACTATCCCGCCTACACGACGCACAGTGGGTGAAAAAAAGAGGTCCCCTTTCATAGGATTTTTGAAAAAATAAAAATGTTTATTATCCGTTTAAGGTATGCGGTTTTATTGGACATATCAGTACATTGAATAATAAAATAGTTTGGGGAATTTCCTTTTAATCTAACACCATAAAGCACGGGCTTTAGAGTTTCAAATGTATGAAAACGGAATTTGTTTTGCTCATAACCTGTATCGGTCTTCTACGGTCAAGCTGAAACTTATAGGGATTATTACCGGGTCTGTTACGAAGCCATGTGACCTTTGACCTTCACCCCGGACGGCCCCGTTCAAAAGATACGAATTTTTCAAAATGCTTATTAGGGTAATTTTGCTTTACGGGGTTATGTGTCTCAATAAACAGTTTGTTTATGTTTCTTGCCCAGCATTTAGTTATTAATATAACACAGATTATTATCTAATAAAACTACACAGTAGATAACGCCACCATACAACTTAACTTTAAATAAAAGCGTCCTAATTCAAAAGATATGGAATTAATATAAATAGATAAAAGAAATAGTTTTAAGAAAAAGAAAACAAGAATACAATATTGTAAAGAATTACAATGAAGTCGTTTACAGCCTACAATTTAATCTTTTGTTTGACAATCGCTTAAAAGCCGCGCGCCATTAACGAGAGCATCATTACATATAAACAATACAAACTCTATTGTTGCAGGTTTTGAGGAATTCAAAGGGTTACCCACAGTCATTACCTGCCGTTGTTTGCCTATAATAATTAATTTTGTCAAACAAACATACTTACACTTACAATGGTGTCGATTCTGACATGATTCTCTAAAGCTAAACTTAAATTTGACAACAGTGCATCTTTGTCATTCTCTATACAGAATTAAAGGGAAAGACTGATGTTAAATTTAGTTTTAAATTTAGAGAATCACACCAGAATCGAAACCAATGTCTATCTAAGAAAGGGTTTGATCAAATATGTTTATTTTGGGATACCTAGAACTTTAACTGACTAAGCTTAAAATGAACAAAGTGTTTTTCCAGATAAACTAGCTGGTTATTAATATTAGTAAATGTAGTAAGGGAGATTCTGATATGTTACTGCCAAACGAGAAAATAAACTATTTACATTATGAATAAAACAAAATTATTAACATCAATATTTTTATTTACAAAACTTAAATTACTAACTAAGCTTGATATCATAAATTAAATAATGCATAATAAGGAAGCCACAACTGTATAAATTACTACACACATACAAGCTAAAGTATAAAAGATTAGTAGAACTCAAATTGGCTACAACAGTTCTTAAATATGTAAACTGTTTATATTAATATGATACAAAGATACAAAAAAATAAAAATACAAAGTTTGATATAATTTGATTTGAGGGAAAGAACACATACTAATCAAAGTCATAATCAGATACATTACCTACATCTACAAACTCTATATTTTCCTTATCTTCACAAGAAGTTAATAATAATGATTTAGCTTCATTTGTGAGAGGTTTATTTCGTTGACATATTTTAGGCCTGAAACTTGATAGGTATGGGTCAGACGATATTAACAAATTATTGATAATATCTTCATTTGTTGCAATCCTGCTAGATTTACGCGAGTGGAAGGTTCTGAAGTTTTTAAAATCTTTGTTACGAGCTTCAGAGGCCTCTTCAGAGAGCTTGCCGATTGGTATAAAGTTATTGTGCTCTATTATATCGGCACCATGAATGAGTAATTTATGCACGCTTGAGGGCATATAATACCATTCATAGAGCTCGACATATTTGCGTGCTGTAGCAGCACAATATTGGCGGAATTTTTCCACGTCCACAAACTCTCCACATGAGATAGCCTGAAGAATCACTCCAAATCTTCTAACGAGTTCTTCATCAACACCCGTTATTTGAGCAGTAATTTGAGGATTAACAAAAAATCTTCTTGCTGTGTTTCCATCGTTGCTTGTACCAGCCCCTTGTTTAACAACGTCCACAAGTAGCCCCGTTTCAGTCCGGAATTGTTCTTGAATAGCCTTTTTTCTTTGGCTTAACTGTTGCTTCAAATCTTCGCCCTTAGCTTGCCATTTCTTGAAGTCGAGACGGTAAGCAATATGTAAGATACATTCCATGCATCTAATTCGTGCATGGAGGGAAGACAGACCGAACTTAAACATGTCTACAGACTGGGTTCTCTGAGTAACCTTGTCGATATCATTCATTTCTTTTGGTTTTGCTTTGCATATATCGCATGTAGCTGTGGATGTATCTGATAAATGTGAAGTTATTTTACCATCAATCATCGTCATAAGCAGAACGTGTTTTACATTTGCACCATCGATAACAGTTGGATGTAGAGCAGCAATTTCCGTATCAATTGAAGTCATTTCTTCTTTAACATTCAAATCGTTCTCTTTAGCAAACTTAAAATAAATGGGTCGACAGTAAAACGTTGAAGACGCTTTGGGGTTTTCCCATATTATTTCATCAGTACCATCTCTCACCAGTTTTAACGGCACAAATAAACACATGAAGATGCTTGAATCATCGCCGTCAATTTTTTGTTGGTAGTTGCTTTGCCCAGATGCACCGTCAAACCCCCATTTACTGATAAGAGTCGAATTACTGCCAGTTAAATCAGTTTCCAGAGTTTTTAATAGTCTCTTGACCGTAATATCTAAAATAGACTGAAGTTTAAGTTTAACTTCAGTCTCAGTTATTACCATGTCTTCTTTTTCAACGTAGCACTCCTTCTTCTCTTGCTTCAAAGCATCATACGATGGAAGTATATCACACCCCATGTCTCTCATTGTCTGCCTCAATGTAATATACTGCCATTTCGATAATTTCAGTGATGTTGAAATACCGAGTGCCTTATCGGTATGACAAGTTCGTTTCGTCGATTTCAGGCAGGCTCGCAGCATTGGCGCATCTTCAGGCTTTTTAATCAAATGCTTCACTAATTCTACAAAGTCCGTTTGGTTTTCATTTTCCGCTTTCCTAGCCAGGGCATAAGCAAGTGTCTCAAAATCGTTTTCGGCAATGAGATTTTCAGTTCTTCTTCTTTTTTGCAGTGGACTTAAATTGGCAAATTCTTTTCGAGGACTAAATGTAGCGGTTGATGTCGACACAGCCACACTATGAGGAACAGTGCATTCCGTTGATAAACTAGGTCTTGTTACTGTTGAAATACTTGTTGAAGGATCTTCAAAACTCGTCATAATATTTGATTGTTCTTCAGTTATGTCTAGTGAAACAAACTCTGGCCATTTTATTTCTTGGTCCAACCAGTCAGCAAACTTCTTTATAAAATTCCCTTGTGTGTAATTAGCTGACTTCCATTTGCGTTTAAGATTACTCGTATATGTAGCACAAAACGTTTTAAGAGTTGTCTTTTGTTCTTCAGATAATGAAAATCTCACTGAATCGAGTACTTTTTGAAATAACATGTCGGCACTAAAAGATTTTTGCCTCATATATATATACGTCGAGATTAGACACAAGCCCTTCCATTCTGAGCAACTTAAAATTTGAGCAAAGAGAACGTTACGGTACGAATCAATAATGATAAGTGAAATGAAATACAGGTGTACTCCGTATTTATTATAATCGAAGTCATTGTTGAATAATAATAATAACAACGTATTATTTATTCACCTACCCACAATAAAAGCAAATAATCAGTAATTATTATAGGCAAACAACGGCAGGTAATGACTGTGGGTAACCCTTTGAATTCCTCAAAACCTGCAACAATAGAGTTTGTATTGTTTATATGTAATGATGCTCTCGTTAATGGCGCGCGGCTTTTAAGCGATTGTCAAACAAAAGATTAAATTGTAGGCTGTAAAGGACTTCATTGTAATTCTTTACAATATTGTATTCTTGTTTTCTTTTTCTTAAAACTATTTCTTTTATCTATTTATATTAATTCCATATCTTTTGAATAAGGACGCTTTTATTTAAAGTTAAGTTGTATGGTGTCGTTATCTATATATATATGTATAGTTTTATTAGATAATAATCTGCGCTGTATTAATAACTAAATGCTGGGCAAGAAACATAAACAAACTGTTTATTGAGACACATAACCCCGTAAAGCAAAATTACCCTAATAAGCATTTTGAAAAATTCGTATCTTTTGAACGGGGCCGTCCGGGGTAAAGGTCACATGGCTTCGTAACAGACCCGGTAATAATCCCTATTAGTTTCAGCTTGACCGTAGAAGACCGAGACAAGTTATGAGCAAAACAAATTCCGTTTTCATACATTTGAAACTCTAAAGCCCGTGCTTTATGGTGTTAGATTAAAAGGAAATTCCCCAAACTATTTTATTATTCAATGTACTGATATGTCCAATAAAACCGCATACCTTAAACGGATAATATACATTTTTATTTTTTCAAAAATCCTATGAAACGGGACCTCTTTTTTTCACCCACTGTGCGACGTGTAGAGGGGGTATATTTCTGTAACGTTTTGATTATGTGAGTAAAGAAAAATACGTGTCCAATACTTTTTGATAATCTACCTGATAGATATAGACGAAGAAAAAAAAGTTAGTCATCATCCCTATTGCTACAACACCTATTTTAAGTTATTGCAATTGTCACAACCGACCTGCTGTCATTGTGTCCAAGTGTATTAAATACCTACCTATATCTAAATTAATATATGTAAAATAAATGAATAGTTTCTAACGATATGTAATTTTGTATAAAATAATAGTGTTAATTTTGTCTTTAGATTTGCCGGTATGGGGATTATACACACTGCGAAAAAAGATGTCCCAGGCTTGCTATATAAAAAATATTCGGAATCAGTACACAATAGCAGAGTCAATCCAAAAGATGTAAGTTTTTGGTATTTTATTTTTCTCTTAATATCCTTTACTTAAAAATATTATATTTACCCACAACAGTTATAACCTGCCACCCCTTGCTGTCGCTAAATGCAAAAAAATACGTAAAACCATTTTTTAAATATGGAAATTAAAAACATACCACAAATATTCGCAATCCGGGCGAATGCACTGACCAATTATGCTACCACGGCCCTGATGGGCGCGTCGAAATTTTCCTAGAATTAGCTGCAAGGCAGCGCCATCTTTTCGCATTGTAGGTAACCCACAATGTCAAATGAATACTTTTTCAAGTATTAAACATTTGAAAGAAGAAATAGCAATTATAGTTATGTTTTTATTTATTTTTAAGCATTTGACTGCTAGATGTTTAAATCTAAAGAAAAGTTTTCCTAGAAAAAAATCCACGTTGACCAGGCAGTGGATGGGACTCGAACCCGCACCCTTCGCAATCCGGGCGAATGCATTGACCAATTATGCTACCACGGCCCTGATGGCCGAGTCGAAATTTTCATAGACTTAAGCTGCAAGGCAGCGCCATCTCTTCGCACTGTAGGTAACCCACAATGTCAAATGAATACTTTTTCAAGTATTAAACATTTGAAAGAAGAAATAGAAATTATAGTTTTTTTCAAGCATTTAACTGCTATATGTTTAAGTCTAAAGAAAAGTTTTACTAGAAAAAATAAAAACTATTTTATTCCAAAATGTTGATAAAATTTCTGCAGGATTTTGGTGAAATGAGAATTTCGTTATCTAATTGTTAGCTTTTTAATATAATAGATTAACTGAAATTAGCACAGTTAGCCCACTTTTTCAGGTTACACGCGTCGATATCCAATTCACGTGCCACTCTCACAGTCCGTTCCGTCCTCGCGCCCGTTAGCTACTCACTATCTCAAGGACGGATTTTTGATAGGACTTACCGTCTTTCCGTTGTCTCTACTGTTCTGTAATAGTTATTTATGATGTTAGTGCGGTAAGTTGGTTATTACAAACGAATAGACGAATGTAAACCCGAGACGAAGTCGAGGGTTACCATATAGTCACGAGTTTGTAAATAAAAATTCCACACGAATGTCATACAACGTTTTTCAATACATTTGCGAGAAAACAGTACCTATAAACTTATATTAAAACAAAAATGGAAGATACGGTATGCTAATACTAGCATCAAAAAAAAAAATGATCCGACTCAACTACTTAAGCAACTCTCATAGACGCACGCGTCTGTAAATAACGTTTAATCGAGCGAGCGAGACAGAACTGTGCGCTTCAACGCAGAGCGTGCGAAACGGCGACTCTGCTTCCGAGTCCGCACGGCTGAGCTGTATTGTTGTCCTTTTCTTGATATCAAAACGGCGATTACGTAAATAACATTCCAAACAAATCGTGAATATTGAAAAAAAAAATACATTTTTACGAATGAAAAGTGTTGCCGAGGCATTTGTTTTTGATTTTGAACTATTTGTGTTCTTTATAAAAGCATCGAAGCCATTGTTTTATCTTTATAACACAGAATATACGCAATATTGTTTTTGAGTTGTTTGAATGTCTTACCGCACAGTCCGTTGTATGACCCGTAATTTTGTACTTTCGAACAATGTATACAACCTCCGTAAATGCATTTTTTGAGCAAATGTGTTCAAAAAGTATTTTTCTCGATCATGCTTGGAAATGTAAGCATTATTTTGACAACCTTCTTTGAGATAAATCGAAATTGCTGTACTGGCCAAATACATGCGAGCAAAAAAAGTTGTATGAAAAAAAGGCAAAAGTTGTATGAAAATTCACTTTTGTAGTGTTTAGCGGCCAAATACGTACTAAATTACATACTAAACTCATATTTGTCGTGTAATCAAAAATGGAACGTTCCTTTTCTCCTAAACTTGGCAACCAAGGAGGTAATTTATCAAAGGTTTTATTTAAATATCGAAATTGTTAGCTGTCTATGAAAAATAAAAACACAAACACCTAAATACGGGAAAAATGATTGTTGTTCGTCATTGATATTCCAGAATTTCGAAAGTTTTGCCTAGGTATTACTTATCTTTAATTTTCGCGCATTATTTGAGAAAGGTACTATACTAACATTGGCCACAAATAGGCATTGATGGACTTACGTACGTGTGCCTCAGATTCGCCTCGGCCCTCATTTACACGTTCGTCCATCATTGCCTCTTTTGGTGGCCGCTGCAGTAATATAATACATCCAACTAGATAGTTTTGCTTATAGTCTGATTAAAATAATCAAAGCTTATAATATGTTGCTGACCTACATTTCATAACTTGATAATGTACTATCAGTGAATTTTAATCCTGACCAAATTGCAGAATATTAAGGTAGACTTTTGCTTAAGGGCGCGCTGCGTTAGGCGGGAGCACACAGCGGACTGGGGCGCGCTCCGCGTATTTGGTTCATGTTATTTAATAGAGCAGGCGCTACGTGGGGCGAGTCTACTGTCTTATAATTTTTAAATCAGAACTAGACTATTTTGAAAGATACGTGTTGATGATGTGGAATGTCAAACATTTTTGACATTAACCAGAGCGAAACAAAAACACCTTTTCGAAGAACAGAAGAAATTTTTAGCCCTAGGTAAAATAGGTCACCTGATCCAAAATATGCCATACTCACAATATGTTTTTATCGTATAAAATAAGAGTAAAATTTGCCATGTCATTCTTTAATAAATAACTGTAATAATTTTTATAAGACGCGGGATATATTTACTTTGTTATTAGCATAGTGTCATATAAACAATGTATCGTTTGTGATTTTAATTAATATAGATAAATAATGGTGGTCCATAAATTAGTAAAAATGTTAAAAATGTATTCATTTGGTTTATTTTTCAAATCTTACATTAACACACACTCACATCTCTCACATCACACATCGACGTCAAGCTCACAGACTTTTAATATTAGTACTAAGCACCGTATAGTAAGAAGAAATATGTCATTTGAACCTAATCTCTTAACGCTTTTGCATGACTTCACCTCATTATAGCATACCCATTACCATTAGCTCTTTCACAAATAAAACTGTAACGATGAACTCTTACTCCAAAATTAACTCCTTGTTATTATTTTTTCAAAACTTAATCTGATAAAATACTAAAATAAACGTTTGCGCCCTATGCCAAAGATAGTCACGCGAACGTAGTCATGGGCAGAAGCTATTAATTGTATTTGTAATTATGAGTAACTAACAAATCAAAACTTCACAAACCGCTCAGTCTCAGTTACATTTTATTATCTATGTTGGCTGATTCATGAAGTCTAAATTAAGCAGCACAGCTTCGCTCTCATAATATAATTACATATTTAAAAATAATGCCACTGTGTTAATGTTTTACTAATGTTTATGTTTGCTCTTATTATATTTGACAGCAAATATTTTTTTCGCAATTTTTTTGTTTTAAAGAAAATTTAAAGTAGTAAATTTCAGTTTGCATTAAGTTCGCCATTATTTGTCTGATTTAGTGAACCAGATAGGTACATCATCCCTAATACAGGACTTTGCTGTTGTTTATACATCGTCATATTTTTACATCTGTAAATCTCAAATAATAGCATAAAATAATCAGCAAATGTCACAAAAAATCCATAAAAAAAGGTAAATAATTAATAAATATAAAAAGGAAATGACTTCACTACATAGTATAAAACAAAGTCGCTTTCTCTGTCCCTATGTCCCTTTGTATGCTTAGATCTTTGAAACTACACAACGGATTTTGATGCGGTTTAATTGAATAGATAGAGTGAATCAAGAGGAAGGTTTATATGTATAATACATGCATAATATTGTAGAGAAACACTGACAATTTTAGAGGTTTTTAATGTAAGGTCGTAAATAAACACATTTTTTTGCGCTTACATTGCAAACGCTGGCTGAACCCAACGAGATAGATCAAAATAATGTACTACAGTATTGTACACCTTAAAAAGGTCTACAAAAAAGTCCGCGATGGTATATGCCTATCTCTTTGGTATAACCCACAATAACCATTTTTTAATTACTTATTCCGAGAAAATAATGGCTTATTTTCGAACAAGCGATTTTAAGCAATACAGCATTAATCCTTATCCAATTAAGTGCCTTAAATACATTGTGCGTGTAATATAGATCAATATGGCCCTTTACAGCATGTAATTTAAATGAATATTTTCGAAGATATTACAGATTTAAAATGCAGGAACATACCGGTTTGGGCGGTACTGGCCGGGGGGGCGGAGCGGCGCGTGTCTTTAGTAATTAGGTATTTAAAGAAAGACATTGTGTTTAATAGAAGCTTGAGAACAAAAATATAGTCTAAACTACAGCTCTACACCGAAGCGAAGCGAGGGCGGGCCACTAGTATTATATAAACGAAAAACAAGAAAGCAACCGACTTTTCTTCAAAAGAAACGACTATTTTCATACGATATCCGCATGTTTTTGTACCGTTCATATATCAATAGTTTGTGTCATTAAATAATATGATTGCAGCGAAAAATTTAATGATAAACTTTGCGGAAAGTTTATATGCAATTTTACTGAATTTTATGAGATCGGGAAATATCTTCGTGGCTATTATGTGTAACCATGCCAAATAACAGCTTTCTATCAGGGTATCTAAGCTACGGACAGATGGATGGACGGATATGGCTAAACTATAAGGGTTCCTTGATGACTCAGAATCCTAATAAAAACAAACAAATTAGATAAAATTAGTGTCCGACATTTTTTTCCCAGATACTATTGCCGGGCCTCCATTATAATTAATTACACACTAAATGGTGTCTACAGATATATATTTTTAGTAACCTTTTTTTTGATAATTTATGATAATAATATAATTTATAATTAAATATTGCTCTTTTTGGTTTATTTCTGCTGCTTTTGAACGAATTTCCGTATTGTATTAACAAGTCAAAGAGTTGATAAATATGAACTCAAGATTATTTACACATCCAAATCGGAATAAGATTCGGAATGTGTTAGCAGATCGTTTTGTGCAAGTGTTACCATTTAAAGAAATAGGTTTTATTTTAAATTTACTTTACAGAAGTCATTGTTGTAAACAAACACCATCCATGTACACAGCGACTTAAGTTTTACATCCGTAAATCTCAAAAATGAGTGAGACATTATTTCATGGATGGTGTTTGTTTTACATTTTCATTCATCTTCTCACGTACAGGGATTAAGGAACTGCTTTTGTGGTTCGGTCCGCATTTAACAGACTGCCTTATTCTTTGATTAAAAGACGTACAGACATGTGTGCGTGTGTGAGAGTTGCTTATGTAGTTAAGTCGGATCATATTTTATTTGATGCTAGTATGAGCGTACCATATCTTCCCTTTTTGTTTTAATCTAAGGCCTAAAGCCTTATTATACGAAATAAATAATTGTATAGATAGCTGTTATTACATACAAGACTCAGGCGTGGTGTTGTTAATATAAGAGTAGGTATCGAAATACAAAAATCCCGCCCATTTGATAAATCGTTACGCGTATTAAAACCTGTGGCAATAGTGACGTCAACTATTGTGTGTCCTATCATGGGGCGCAGGATGAAAATAATGCTAAAATTATATGCAATAATACGTGCTGGTTTGTTGAATGTTAGTTAATCAGTCTCCATTGATATGGCCAAACGAAGTGGTCGTCTCGTGTGCGCGTGACTTGCAGCCGGCAGCGGCGGCCGGCGCGCGCATAGGAAACATTGCATACAACACAAAACTACTACATCAATCAATAACACGATAACATGTTCTACTGTACTAACTGCGGTATGTTTACTTTTAATTTCATTTTAGCTAAAAGTCTTTTGTGAAAACGAAGCGAAGAGCATCAATTTGAACATTGTGCGGTTGAGGTTCAGCGCTCACGATATCAACACTGACCAAGAAATCTGCCCTCCAGTATTTTCTAATCCGATATTCAACATGAGTGAGTATATCAACTTCATAGTTGTTAAACACAATTTATGACATGAAAAGCAACTTTTTTGATATGAAAGTGTCAGTTCGTACGCTGTGTCCGAATATATTTTGACTGAGACGTAATTCGTATATACTCCGATTCGAAAAAAATGATATTTTTTTGTATAATTTTAATATTTCATTCGCACTTAATTTAAGCTTTCGTGTTCGAAGATAATTTTATATGAGTTCGGTATCGAGCCGAGTTTATAAAACGTTACTTTAGCTAGTTCAGAGATACAGTGAAATCAGTGTCATATAGCGAAATCCCCTGTGAACATCATCTCGCACATCAGCTTATATTAAATATTACTAAAAAATACAAAGTTCGTAAGTAAGTTAAAGCTTGACGGGGTAGGGCACAGACAATAGAAAGAGGATCCTCTATATGTGTTCTGTGGGGTAGGGGATGAGGTCAGGATAGGCAACGGCGCGAGTGATATTTATCTTATCGCAAACCTCTATTATAAGCCTATGGTGGCAGCTTGCCATCGGGCGGGTCATTTGCCACCCTTATAACATAAAAACAGAATTTAAGTCTCAGATTACATCCCAGTCGCCTTACCCAGGGCGGTGGCGGCGAGGGCTATTTATCACGAATTTTTCTGGGATAAGAAAAAGTTCCCTCGCCGAGGCCACCCCGGTCCCAGTCGACAGAACCTCATTGAATCAGTCGTCTAGATCGGGAAGACTTACACTACGCAGATAGTTATCCACACAAACAATCTTGTACGCGATATTGGTATGTAATAAACTGGATATTTCAGAATGCGCCGCCACAAACGACTTGAGAATATGTCGAATAAGTCGAACTTGCGGCCGTGCCGCTGGAGGCGAAGATGTCTTCCTGCTCGTGGAAAAAGTGAACAAGAGTGAGTACCATAAGTTGTGATTTGTGCTTTTTAGATTTATCGTAATAAATGTTAATGAAAAGTAGTAATTTTTCAATGAAACTTCACTAGATGATTTTAAGTTTATCGAAGTGCTCGGATTAGTTACCTGGTGTTCTGGTTCTAAAGTATTTTTTCCCATTGTAATCTAATAGTTTCATAGTCTAGGTAATGTCCCACCCATCCAATGACCGACCACTGCGAAAGTTGCTTAATTTCAACGATCGCAGCCGAACGCGCTAACCACTTGCGCCATCGAGCTCCTCTTGCTATTATTACCTATAAATAAAATCATAATAATGAAATATAAGTTATTTACGGGATTGTTACCATGCACCCTGTTTTTAGCGAGTTTCCGATATTTCGGCACTGTTGCAAGCGCCATAATCACGAAGTAACTGAAACATGGTAACAATCCCGTAAATAACTTATATTATTATAATTTTAGTGACCATGAAGGTTTAAAACAACATAATAATGAAAGTTGTAATCTCGAGAAAAGAGCATAACTCCAAACATTCGACTAATCAAGCTGTTGTGCTTGTGACTATACGAGCCAACTAGTTGATATACATACTTTAAGTTATATCTAGTTCGATAAAATTCACTTACTTCAGTGTATTACCACAAATACCCTTACTAATCTATGATACGACGCCAAATTTGGCATTGCAAAAAGATACGTGACATCCTCATGCCAAGTTAAGACTCCAGTGCTCTCAAAGGAATAACTACATACCTACATAATAAGAGTAATCTTGTATTTCTATAAATATAAATTAATCCATATTTACCTTGGTAACGCTACAAATTAATATTGACTTTACCGATGTGTAATCGGTATCGCTTTTTTAAACTTTCTTACAATTTGTAGAAGGGTACAAACCGAAAAAATACAACTAGTTGCTCGAAACTAAGGTAAACGGGGAACAAGTCGCGTTAGTAATACTTTTGTGAAGAGTAAATGAAGATATTATTGTAACAAGAATTCTTGTTGGACTGATCAATCAGTTATCATTATCAATTTATGTTTGTGTGAGAGAGAGAGAGCGAGTGTGTAGACTGAGATCTACCAGAAGCTCCACCCACCACGCCCGTTGGTCTTGACAGTTTTAAGCCACGCCTATCGTTGCACACGCAAATCATTTAATGATAAAATATATTTTTTATAAAGTAATAATACTATTAAGTAGATTGTACTACTTACCTACCAGTTTTTCCTAGAACCAGTCGATAAATCAGATATAGTTTCTTAATCCATTATACACACAATTCTTAAAAAATACGAAAACTATTACACTGCCTAGCATATTAACTATTGATCGCTGACAAATGAAAATAATATTTTATTTTCCAATTTTTATTATTTATATGTAGGCCATAACAGTGTGTGTTAACAGTGAGAATAAACCGTAAATTTTGTTCACAGAAAATATAATGGTTCGCTTCTATGAGCTAAATGATAACGGCGACGAAGTATGGTCAGCGCCGGGCCACTTTCTACAAAGTGACGTCCACCATCAGTACGCCATAGTGTTCAGGTTTGTGAATTCAGATGAAATATGTGGGTTGTTTGTAGTACATTGGCCAAAAATATAATTTGTATACTTCAAATACTTACATTGAATGTTCATTCTTCACGTTTTGGTTTACTCTACATTGAAAGTTAATTCGTCACATTTATTTGTCTCTATACATGAAAAGTTAATTAATTAGATGCAATTACTTTTATAAAAATAGAGCTGTGGCGAATTTACACACACTATTTTCATGACAAATTAACTTTGTGACAAATGAACCTGTCTTTGTGTCAGACGAAGGGAGCGGCGAATAAAGAGTTAGAATTAAAATTCAAAATTTGAACTTCAAAGTACGTATAATCATATATGTATTTTATAAATAACGTAACTTTTGTGTTCGTATAGGACCCCACAATATCAGGACCCTAACACACCAGTACAAAAAAAAGTTTTCATAGAGTTAGTCCGACCAACAGACGGACGCGTTAGCGAACCAAAAGAGTTTTACTACAAAGCTGCGCCGACTTCCAAGTTCAATAAAAAACGCAAGGTTAACTCGGCGTTTTCTTCCTACAGCTCTACTGGTAAGTCGTTTTGACTAGTTTGTCGTTCAGACCGTCATAATCGTACTAATATAAAAAAAAAACAAAGTTTGTATGTTTGTTACTCAATCATGCAAAAGCGGCTGAACGGATTAGGATGAAATTTTGCACACTTATAGTTTATTACCTGGATTAAGATATATGTTAGGTTAGGTTCCTGAGGGATTTAAAAAAAAACTTAAATTAACGCAGACGAAGTCTTGGTGGCCGCAAGTATTAAAATAATTCAAAACGTTGTCTTTTCTGCACTAGTATTTTTATTATTTTTGATGGACCCTCATGTTTCTCTGTACTTGGTACCCGGTAATACTTAGATTATGTTGCTGGTGTTGCTGGTGTTGCACTGACAGGAAATTATTATACTTGCTTGATATTGAACTTTAACCAATATTTCATCAGGCGTATTTAAAAGGTCCCGGTTCATACTTAGCTTTTGTATTCCACCTCCGTTTGATATAAATCATGATAGATAAGATTGGCATCCCACTTCTTTTCTCTGAATGTTTTTAAGTAGTGCCTTTAAGTATGCTGTAGACCTCATTGGCCTCAATATCGTAAGTAGTATTCTTGACATATTTTTTATCATTAATTTTATTAGTATTTCAAGTGTGTTAAGGAATTTGACATACGACAAGGCAAGACAAAAATATCATAAACCTACTTCACTTATTTCTGTGGGTTATCCGTGTTTTTAATTGAACCCACATTTAAAAGTAACTATAATTTATTGTTTTAAAGTAGTATGCGTATTTTATTTGACAATAAAATTCCATTTTGCTAAATAATAAAACAAGGTAACTCCAATGATCGTCCCATCTGCGAAAGCAACTCTCTAGCCTCCACCTTAGAGAAGAGTACAACCAAAAAACACTATTATTTAGTGTTGTCCTGTTTCCACAGACATAAAATATCTAAACCAACTAGTGGGTGCCCGCAACCTACAACAAAATTTCACCCCCTTTTCATCCCTTTTATTTATTTATTTTAAGGACAATCAGTAACAGGTACAATACAATGACTTAATGAGGAGAATTATATTAATTAAAGTGGAACTAAGAGCACTGTTTTAGTTGCCACAGCATGCTTAAAATTAGGTATGACAAAATTTATGGGGACAATATACCAACAATTTATCAACCTCTCTATCCTCAATAAAACTTTAGTTCATCACTTTGCTCTACTGTCATTGACGTAAGCGATATAAGGTTATGTTTTGGTATTTTTTTCACATCCTGGGTTACGTTAACGAAGTTTTCATACGGAGCCCAAACTTTATTGAAAATAGTCTATAGCCTATTTACATCAGGGATAATGTAGGATTCTAAACGTGAAAGAAATTTTCAAATCAGTCCTGCAGTTCCGGAGCCTATTCAATACAAACAAACAAACAATAAAATCTTTCCTCTTTATAATATTAGTATAGATCAGTGGTTCTCAAACTTTTTAAATGACGGAACCCTTTTGGGAAGCAAAATACTTGATGGAACCCTACAATAAAACAATTATTTTTATAAGTGTATTCTATATTAATCAGCATAATAAAAGTACAATGTATCCGTTACTAATTATTATTTACTTCACCACTTGGTAAGGACAATAATAGAAAACATTAAAAAAGAAAAAATCTAACTAGTGGGAGGTATGAAACTGTTTTTTATTTTTCATCAATTGCTTGATATCAGGTTTGATGGAAGAAAGTTGGAGTCTCATATCAGCTTCGGCGTCCAGTCTATTGCGATATTTTGTTTTCGTGGCTGCGTAGGTAGAGAATCCTGTTTCGCACAAATATGTAGTTGGGAACGGGAGAAGAATATCCAGAGCCATTTGGCCAAGCATTGCATATTCATCTTGGATTCTGCACCAAAAATCATTAAGAGGCGTCGTTTTGAACAATGACTCCATACTTGTGTCTGATGACATTTCTAAAAGAGATTCATATATCTCATTTGACATGTTTTCAGGCTTTTCCAAGTTGGGTAAAAAAGGATTATGAATCCAGGAGTTCACTTTAATTTTTGTATTGTGTTCTTCGGGAAAATACTTTTCAAAAGATGCGCGCGCATCGAACTGAGATATTGGACCAATTCTTCAAACACATTATCTTCAAACATTTCTGAGTCGTTTTCGCTAACAAACTCAGTGAGTAACGTAAAACTTTCTATTTCTTTCTTACCAATGCAAATGATCCAAAAATCTAATTTTCTTTTAAAAGTAGTTATTTTATTATAGGCCTGAAACACTGTTGTCTGTTTACCTTGCAATGATAAATTTAATTCGTTAAGTTTTTGAAAGATATCCGCCATAAAAGACAATCGGAACAACCAAGTTTTATCATACAAACGGTCCTTCAAATTAAAAGAAGTATCTGCTGAAAGAAACATTTGTAACTCGGCTCTAAGTTCAAATAGCCTTGTTAAAGTTTTTCCCCGAGACAGCCATCGCACTTCTGTATGGAGCAGCAGTGTTTTATGTTTGCTGCCATAATCTTCACACAATAATGAGAACAATCGGGATTGTAGTGGTCGTGATTTGATAAAATTAATTATTTTTACCGCTTCATCCATAACTAATTTTAGATTAGACGGCATTTGCTTCATCGCAAGTGCTTGTCTATGCAGAATACAATGACTGGAACTACAATTAGGCGCTTTATTTTTCATTCGTGACACTGCTCCTGCTGTTTTACCTGTCATCGCCTTGGCCCCATCTGTACAAATGTCAATGCAATTGTTCCAACTGAGATTATGTTCTTCAAAAAATATATTTATTTTATTAAAAATTTCTTCCCCGGTAGTGTTTGTAAGCAGCGATGAACACATAAGCATGTCTTCTTCAAAAGAACTTTTATATGGATATCTCACAATAACCAGCAGGATAGCCAAACCAGCGACATCAGTCGACTCGTCCATTTGCAAAGCGAATCGTGTATTTTGTAGACGTGTAACTAGTTCTTGTTTGACGTAGCTTGCCAGATCATGGATTCGTCGTGAAACAGTATCGTTTGATAGCGGAACAGTAGAAAGATGCTTTGCAGATTTTTCATCAAGCATACATTTTGTTATGTCTAATACACATGGTTTTATTAATTTCTCAGCGATAGTGTGCGCTTCACCTGCTTGTGCAATGCGATAGCTAACTAAGTATGATGCCTCCGTGGCCTTTTCGTTGGTAGTTTGTGTTACATGCATCATATTTTTTTGACTTTCTAATAACTGATCTTTTTTGCGAACAAAAAATTCTTTATTCTTGTCTTTAGTCTCGGGGTGTACGGTTTCTAAATGTCGACGCAATTTGGCAGGTGCCATGGAACTATTAGGAAGCAGTTTACTACAGAGCATGCAGAGAGGTGAGCCGTTGGAATCAACAAATCCGAAACTGATATAAGATTCATCATACTTCCTTTTTTTCGTCTTTGAAACCGTCGAGCTTGACGTCGTGGCACTCGTGGCATCATCTTCTGGATCGGTGATTGCTAAATTCTCCGCGCGCATTGCTTTTGAACATTCAGCGTCATTAGAAGATGTTGTTGGAACACGTTTAACACCTTTAAGCCAACGTTCCATTCTTCTTTATTTATAATGTTACAAGTCAGGATAGTGGGGTTTAAATAATGCACAATCGTTACTGCGTATAAGAGACTAAATTTAGAACCTACAGGGAAGAAATGTATAAAACTGAGACAACAGAATACAGCAGGCAGTAAAACAATGAACACCAGTTTCTCGCTAGCGAGCTTGTAAGTAGGTAGTAACTTATCGCTCCGAACGCTAATCATCAACTGACGACGCCAACGCGCGATCGCCGCTTTTATACTTAGTCCTAGACTCGATCTCAAATATTCTCGAAAATACTCGAGTCGGCACCTTTGATAAACAAAAAGCAAAAATAAAAACAGAAATTTAAAAATAGCGTTGTAAACAATATCGACTTTATCCTTTGAAGTTAGAGACGAAAGTCGCTAGTTGACAACTATAGCGTCTAATTCAGAGGCGGCTTTTATCAAAGAGACTGAGCGCTTACAAGTATACCTACCCGCTCGTTTTAAGTTTGCCGCTGGCGATAGGTATGAGTGTATGACGTTCGAAATTTTTTATTTAATTGTAACAATAAAAATTGTGTACGTTAGATATTTGGGTAAAACTATGACACATTATAAGTTTTGTTGTCACGTGGGGGAGGGTACGCGCATTCCACAGACCGGCAAACTTAGAGCGAACGCGTTGTACAAGTATAAAATTGTTGAGACCAAACTTATGAGATATTGTACCAGCTAATGTAACACAAGCTTATACAAATACAAATAAATAAATAAATAACATTCATAGCGTTTTGTCTCCGCGCGGCCGCGGAGTCCGCACAGCCGCGGAGCGACCAGAGAGAGGTGTTTTGATTTTTTTATTTCTAAATTCTTGCGGAACCCCGACAGAGGTATCACGGAACCCTAGGGTTCCGCGGAACACACTTAGAGTATAGCTGGTATAGATAATAAGTCTATTAAGGTGGGAGGCGGGCAATGTATTTTACATACAAACGTACTCGAGAGATTCCTCCTTAATTTTTATCACTAAAGAAATGATTTTCATACATAAAATATAATTTTGCTCATTCTATGCTCCTATGTCTTCCTTTTTTCGATAACTTGTGTTTCACAGAAACTAGAAGCCCTCCAAAATGTCAAAATAAACAAATTTTTTTCATCACTTAAGACTTCTGATGTGAGAAGATTCAATAAGTATTTACAAAAAAGCAAAACTTAGAGGCCTAGTTTAACTACTTTTTATTCTATGTGTTAAAATTCTTTTACATATATTTAATTTTCGAGGAGGAAATCGTCGCAAGCCAAATCTCGAATTTTGCAATTCTCAAATTTCTCGCATCTCTCGTCCATTCTCAACGCGCTGTTTCGGATCAAAACTTTCTTGGATTGGAAAGCTTCAGAATAACATAACATTGCTTTTTTTAAGAACTGATTGACTTATCTGACTGCCTTTTTATCTACACTGAAATTCAATATTTCAGTATTATGATTATCACCAATTCTAGGAACTGTCTTCGATGTTCTGTACACATTTTGATAAAATGTATCAAATCAATCGGTTGACAACATGAAGTGTTATATATTTTGTTATTGTAATATTTTATGATAATACTTTAGAAGTTATTTAACACTACCTCCTGTTCAGGGTCCCGTGTCCAAATAGTGACACTATTACTTGTCAAGCTGTTTGTTCGTTCGTCTATCAGACAGCGAGTTGAATGTAAATCATTTCACAGCCGGACGCGCTAACCACTTGCGCCATCGAGCTCCTCAATTAAAGAATTTCTATTGCCGCCTGCAAACAAAACAAATAGTAACACAATCAAAGTAGATCCCAATAGTGGAAACCATATTTATATACTGTCCATAATAAAAAAAAAACTATTTTATCAAATACAATTATTTAAAAAAAATATTTTTGAAGCATGTAACTGCTTGATGTTGAAATCTAAAGAAAATATAACTAGAAAAAAGCACTGATCAATCATGCTACCGCGGCCCTGACGGAAGCGTCGAAATTCTTCTAGCCATTCGTAAGCTGCAAGGCAGCGCCATTTCTTCGCATTGTAGGTAACCCACAATGTCAAATGAATACTCTTACAAGTATTAAACATTTGAAAGAAGAAATAGCAATTATAGTTATAATTTTTATTTTTTAAGAATGTTACTGCAGTCATTCCAACTCCTTGCTTGATTAGAATATGAGGTGGTCCTGCCTACAACATTGTATAATTAAACAATGGAAGCCTATATTTTTGTAATTTTAAGCATTTAACTGCTACATGTTTAAATCTAAAGAAAATATAACTAGAAAAAATTCCACGTGGACCAGGCAGCAGACGGGATTCGAACCCGCACCCTTCGCTATCTGGGCGAATGCACTGACCAATTATGCTACCGCGACCCTGACGGCCGCGTCGAAATTCTTCTAGCCATTTTTATTGTATATCTTATTCCTGCCTGGTCCGCGAGAATTTTTTTCTAGTTATATTTTCTTTACATATTTGGGTGATTCTCAGTTAAGAGGTATGTTCGACAGCTAAGCCAAAAAAATCATTATATTTGGAAATTATGGTCTAAAATCTTAATAATTTCAATTAACTAAATGTGTTCTAAATTGCCACTTGAAATTATATTCTAAACTAGCTGACCCAGCGAACTTCGTACCGCCCTAAAAAAAATAGGGGTTGTCCAGCGGACAAAATTGTGAATCTAAACCATTCTCAGATCCCCTTGAACACACACAAAAAATTTCATCAAAATCGGTCCAGTCGTTTAAGAGAAGTTCAGTGACATACACACTCACAGAAGAATTATATATATAAAGATGTGCATAATTTACTTACAATAACAGCACAAAGAGGAAAAACATCTCTCCCCTGGGTTGTCCCCTAACCGTTTTTTTTGTAAATCAGTAATTTTGAGTCCATTGCAATTTAATTATTACTTTTCTATCGGTAATAACATGAACCCTGATAACTTAGTTACAGTATGTAACCATTAAATTCATTTATATTTGCACTTTTTATAAAAAATATTATTCGCAAACTGTGTCCTCCGAGTTTCGTGTCTCGCCCCCTGGCCTTAGGTTTAGTTTGAAAATCGTATTTGTTTATCATAGTCTGTGGTAGTTTTGACCTTGAAGACACCGAGTGTCACGTGAAGTTAGCAACAAGCGCTGTACAAGCCATCCGCGCGGCAATTTTTTTGGCCATTTGCGCAACGGAGTTCGAAGTGTGCAGCCGTGTTGAATGATCGAAGTATTTACCCTGGTATTTTTTTTTTCGTATTTATGTGTTTAAATACTACAATATCTATATACATTTATTTTAAATAGTGCTGCAAACCTTTTATTTATTTGTAATCTTTGTAAAATTAGTAGTTTTACGGCAATTCTAGATTTTTAACGGAAATGTCTCGCCCCTGCCATATTTCCCCTGGCTGTTATGGTGCCAGGCTACTAACAAAACTATAAAAACGATGCAATAGCTCAATAACAGTAATGATTATTAATTAGAGAATGTACAATTGCATATAATTTTAGATAATTGTTTAGCTTTATATTGTTATTCCACTAAAATCTGATTGCACGGATAAGTACTTTACATCCTAATATGCACTCTAAGCGCATTGCAATAAAGTTCATCTTGTCTCTACCCTGTACTCAATATCTCCCCTGGTGTCTCGTAAAACGAGAATAAATTGAAAAAATGACTGAACATCTTAAAATCATATTAAAATCATCTGTCTTGATAAAAGTAGTGGTATAGTTATATAAATATCGACACTTTTTGCTATGCCACTGCTTCCATACAACCAATTACCTCTTAACTGAGAATCACCCATTTATTAAAAATTTGGATAAATTGGTTTTAGCTAATGTAAGCGACAATTTTGTTTTCCAGACAGTTCTGTGAGGAGTATCAATAGTGAAATTCCAGCTACAGTGCTGTTTATGAACGTAAGTACCTTCATATATTGGTTCTTCACTTTTATGAACTTTTGCCTACATTTCATAATCACAATAGCTTTGTCACATGCTTAACCTTTAAGTAATATATTTCAAAATGATAATAAGAAAGGACTTGAATCTTAAGTATTATCTGTAGATTGTTACAATCAGTCTCTTTGTTTTGTGACTAGCCGGTTTCGATACCTTAGAAGGGCCAATCAATTATTATAAGACCCTTCTACTTATAATTAATTTGCTTTACTTAAAAATGAATCTTTTTTGAAGTGTTCTAATGACGTGTAAATTCTCTGACTAAAAATTCTGTGTTAATCTATTTGAAATCTGGTATAATATTTTAAAGAACTCGTTATCATATTTTCTCTCTCTTTTTATCTTAAAGGACTTTTCCCTTTTTATTTTAAACTACTTCAGTTCCATCGTGTCTGTAGTATATTAAGTTTGAAAATTCACATAATTTTTCTTATTAAACATTTGCTGCGACTGAATATAAAAAGCTTATAAATACTAATCCCTGCGTTTCCTTTATTTAGGAAAAAAATGAACAGGCCGAGGAAGAACTGAAAAATGACCAGTTCTTCAATATACCTCAGGTAAGTGAATAATTTCGTACAAATAGCGAAGTGTTTTGTATTTCAAAAAAACAAAGAATCATTCTCTTAAACCATTGTTTAATCAATTGTAGCATAAAACTAAGTCAATAAATTAATCATAAATGTTTATTTACTTGGATCAAAAGGGCAATTGTAGAGTATAAGTGACAACTCAATTTCCAGTTAGCAAATGTAATTTGTCATTAGTAATTTGTTATTAAATGTAATTTGTCATTAGTAATTTGTCATGGAGTATGTTTACAAAGTTTGCCGAATTCTTCTTTAAACTAGTTTTTAGTACTGATGGTAAGAAGCCGCAACTTCATTAAAATGTGGGTGTTAACATAACACATGCAACACAATGGCGGTTTTCCTGCTTGATTGAATTATAGCACTTCTGTGGGAAACTTTTTCCCAGAGAAGTGTCTCGCCCTACAGAAGACACCAAGGAAATAACATTACCTGTTGTGTTTTGATTGGTGACTGAGGTTCCGGAGACCGAGATGGATGGAGAGTTCCCTGTCAAACTCTAAAGTAGAACCAGAGCATATAAATTGAGACGAAGTGATCGTGCGGCAATTGTTCGTATATGTATTGGCTGCACCATCGTGTTCTCTACTTCTGAAGAGATGCGTGTGTTGCACATGGGTTCCACGGGGTAGGAGTTTGAGTAATGGCTTTTAAGATGGGAATGGCTGGAACTACAACATTATCTTCACAACTGAATTCGAATCGATAAGGTGGTCATTCACCAAAGCATGTTTGTGGTAGGAGTACAGATTTAGCACGATTTTTTAGTTTGCGACACTTTATAATATAGGTACTGTGTAAATATTTTAGCAGTCACAAAATTAATGTGTATATTAAATAATATACTGAAAAGATCACCTTTACTAAAGAGTTTGTTATTATCGAGTAAACAATGTTTTTATTAAAACTATTAAAATTTCTTAAGGGGTGTATATACAAAAAAAAGCTCAATTTTATTCAGAGTTTTTTAACATACTTAATCATCAGCGGTGGCAGCTCGTATAGTATTATTGTTTATATTAATAACTACGTGCCAACTACAGATTTAACAACACGGCACGAAAGTAAACAATAATGACGTTGTTAAAACACAGCAAAGCCCGTCGTCCAAACCACGCAAGAAGCAATTTTGAAACATTAACTTAATATAATTATAACCATTTGTCATGATTTGCGGTACTTATATATATATATATAGAAAAATGGTGACAATATTGGCTGATTTGATGACATTACGTTTTTTGTGCTTTTAAGTGATAGGGGGAATAGGTGGGCTGTACTGGCGGCGATTCGTCTTGTACAGGTTTTTTAATAGAAAACATTTCACTCAGTCCAGTAGGCATATTCGCTAACTGCTTTTGACAGATTTAAAGGATAATCACCGAGCTATTTAGTGACCCACTATTGCTTTATTATAACGCCACTAAGATACTTGTTCTAAAAAGCATTGATGAATATGCAATTTTATCTTTAGTTACACATTGTAAATTAAAAAAAAAGTTAGCAAATAGGCCGGCAGGTATTAGATAGGATACGAACCTGCGCCTTCCGCTAGCGGACAGGATAATAATGTTAACGATAACTTGTTCATTTCTTCGTTCATCGTTCATTATCATAAACGAAGTGAAACGAAAAAAAATACTCATAAACGTTCTACCATGTGAATATGAAATGTAAAAAATATCTTAAAAACTAGTTTATCGGTTGAAACGTGACTCAGTGATAAAAGGAAAAAAGTTTACGTGTTTTTTTGTGCAGGCAATTAGTTTAAACGTCGATTGATTGAAAACTCGTATTCGCAATTTCAGATACCGCAAATACCCAAGTCCTCTCCTTTGAGCTCCAATGACCTGGGCGAAGCACTATACGGTATGCAAACTCAAAGTAGCCCGTCTGAGAGTAATTTCTACGACAGTCCGATGTTGCCTCAAGCTATTGTTGAGCCACCCGACCTCCAGCTTAACTCAGCTGAATTGGAAAGAATATTAAAAGTGAATACAAGCCTCCCGGTTGAGGAAAAAGAACGGTTTTGCAATGCTGATTGGACAGGTAAGAACCAGATATTATTTAATTACTTCATGATATTATATGGCTTAAGCTCAGTTTTTTTTTACCATAACACACGTGAACTCGCAACACATAATAACACACTAGAAATATTATTAAGCATGGTTCACATAACATAATAACAATAAAAAAATTGCCAAAAACATGAACCTAAATAATCAATGATAGCGAAAGGATGGAAAAGTTAAAATAAGATGTTAGGAGTAACATTTCAAAATAAATAAAAGTCGTATATAAAATCAACGTAAGTAATAACGCATTATTATAGAAAATAGATAAAATACACATTAAATAAAGTATTCGTTTTTATTTTTTCCTATTTCTTTTTGTTAAGAATTTTTTATTTTATGTTACTGATTACTTCTCTAGGGTTTTCTCTTTATATAGATTTTTCCCTTCCGGCAGATGATAGTGGCATCTGCAAAAGTAAAATCATGTAACAATAGTTAGAAGCACGTCTGAGTAGTTAATGAAATCCTTTTATATCATCAAAATTTACGCAAAATTCACTATAATATTTATAGATTAAGACTTTTTTACATGTGTAAACCAATCTTTATATTTTTGTCGTGTGTTACGTCATAAAACTTCGTAACACGCGCAACACACGGGAATAAAAACACGTGGAAAAAATAACGTCAACCTCATGGAGATTCTTCGAAAGTTAAGAAATACAGTTTAAAAGAGTATACGTTACATTGCAAAAAGTCGATTTTCACAAACAAAAAAACAAAACAAGCCCAGTTCTTACCTAACTATGTTTAATTCCTTCCAGAAAGTGCATAAAATCCGATGACCAAAAAGTATCACACGCAAGTTGATGCTTTGTACCTGAAAACGAATATGGCTGACGTAATACTCTAAATGTCAATCAGAAATCCAAATGTTTTCATTGCAAAAAAACAATTCCTAGTATTGATTTTCGTTAAATTTATCATTGATATAGAAAATATACCTTGTTACCTTTCGTATAAAACATAAAATATTACTATAGTCCTGTGATAACAATTAAGTTAAAACTTTTTTTTTCAAGAACATGACACTTTTGTATGAAACTTATTTTAAAGGGTGGTTATGACGGCTTTTTTTAGTAAATTGTATAAATGCCGTAATTTAAACAATATTGTAATACATTTAAAAAAACGAGCGAGCCTTACAGTAGTCGCTTATGATGTGTAACATTTGAAACCTCACTTTATATGAGTAAAAAAAGAAATAAAACCTACTACAAAAGGAATAAGCCATTTGAACATGTTCTAAAATCAAATCAAATAGCGCGCTTTCACGACTTCCTGTTACACACTTCCGTCCCATTTCACGAAATCACTCCCACAAATTGCAGGAAAGCGAGAGGAAAGATGTTACACATCAATATAGGTTATAGGGTTGTCCTAGGAACCAAAGTTATTTATTGTGAAACTTAGGGAAATAAATTATTTTTTCATTGGAATTTTGGCCAACATTTTTTGTTGCTTAAAGTACAATGTTTGTGAGCCGTAACCATAATTATACTTAATAGTATAAACATATATGAGGAGTTCGATGGCGCAACTCGTTCGCGCGTTCGGCTCCTTGAAGATAAGAAACTTTCGCAGTGGTCGCTTATTGGATAGGTGAACAAAAATTTATTATCTCCAAACTTCGTGCCGTGCTTCGGAAGGCATGTTAAGTCGTAGGTCCGACTGCATCTGCAGTCGTTAGCACCCACCAATCCGCACTGGGCCCGCGTGGTGGGTCATGACCCAATCTCCCTATTCCATCCATAGAGAAAGTCTGTACCCTAGTAGTGGGGACATTAATAAACTAATGATGACATGATGGCCACGCACCATATTGCGGTGTTGGAAGTTTGGCATGCAGCACAATAATACAGATAGTGATGAAATTCATTTAGTAATATTATGAATTTTATCGACATCCACGGTCCTTGAATGATTGGCAAACTTATATATTAACTAGGTACTAAATCAACAAAGATAGTGACAAAGATAGAGAGTGCTAACAACCTGTCAGTACTGTTACAAATAGTTTAGGACCTATCTTCGGGGGAGGCCTATGCTCAGCAGCGGGCGCCGTGTTATACCTTCTGTGTCCGTTTTGTATTATAGAAACTAATTCGTTATTTGACTTCTCCAATAAAAAACATTGTTACATTATTCTTTATGAACTGCTGTGAACGATTAAGTATTTTCAATAATGTTCCTATGTTGCCCGTGACAAAGGAAAACCGAGGATAGACCAGCTGATAACTAAATAGTGAAGTTCTTGAAGCTATTTGAGTCAAATATTGCGTCGTTGTAGCATTAAGATATGTAGTTAGCTGTAGCTGTGACATTAGGTCGCATGTGGTGTTAATTTTTTTATACTAAGTCCTCTTAACTGCCATAGGCTCCTAAACTTATTCCACCTAAATTACTTCTTTTACTGCCAAAATCCAACTTTGGAACAAAAGTCATGAGCATCATAATCCCGAACAGTTTTATTCGAATTTCACTTTTGCCAAACAATCCGCAATGGCCCCCGTGGTGGGTCATGGATTAATGTCGCCTTATTAGATATATCGAATAAGGCGATATTAATTCGATATTGATCGAATAAGGCGAGCTTTTCCATAGGAAAAGCCTATGTCCTAGCAGTGGAGACATTAATGTTGATGAAAAATATTCTAATGCATATTCATAGTCTCAGTGTGAACTCACCCTTGAGTGCTCCTAGAAAAAAATATCCCAACATTTTTGTTCTTTAAAGTCTAGTAATCATAAAACGTATTTTATGTTTGTATTATGGGGAAAGTTTATTCTATACTTATGTTTTACTGAATGAAGTACGTCACTTTCGACATGGAAACTATTAAAGGTCTTTTTCCATCATCAAGCTCATGTCTAGAATGCATTTACTTTGCGGTATCAGTCTTCTGTGAAATATTATTTTTTAAAGTATGTTTTCTTTCTTCCAGAGTATCTGAAGTCGTATTCAGACAGCTTGAATGACGAGGTTAGTGTTCGTTACGAATATTTTACTCATCTGTAATAGTATTATCTTGCCCATAATGCATTAATTATGTCCAAGATAATAACTACATATTTATAATTGTTTAATAATATTGCCTTATTGATGTCAGGATTATTTTTAAATATTTACGTTTATTAATACCTTTATTACTTTTTATTGTAGAATCATTCTAAAATGGAATCCTTGACAATGGAAATAGTACGGTCAATGCTGACAACCGATTCCGGACGGCAAGTGGTAATAAATGTTTCCGATTAACATTCAATTTGTAAATAGACTCTGTGTAAGATCAGTAAATAATTATTTGTCGTGTTTTTGTTTAAGAAAACGGAAGCGAGTTCAAAAATGGAGAACAAAATTCTTATAAAACAGGAGAATTTGAACACAAATCCAGATCAATTCAATAATGGCACCGAATACTCGGCTGTTTACACAGCCAGTGAGGGGAAGGAAGTCAAGAAGGTAACTCGTACCATCTCACACAGATCACAAAACACAAAGCATTCACGTTGAGATTTAATATTCAGTCCATTCATTTTGTTATCATTTGTTATTAACATGTCTGACCAATTTGTTCCTAGTTATAGTTTTAATCATTTTATAATAATTATGTTATGTTTCATAAAGTATTTTCCAATATCTGTTGAGAATTATTAAATATAGGTGTGTTGCAAGACTTTTCATTTGTCATCCTTCCATATCAATTAGAAAATATTCTAATAGGGTTTAAGTATGAAATTTCCGCTTCATGCCAGAAAAGAATATTTTTTGTGGTTACAGTTTCATGTAAGATTAGTACTAAAACTTTCATATTTCGGGGAAAAATGTAGATGAGTGACTGATTATACACTTCTGGACACATCTATTGGCCCACCTTGTATTTTCAGTTTCGTTTGGTCCTAGCTAAAATTTTATATTAGGTCGAGCAAAAAGTTTTAATGCAGTTTTGAACCTGGCACATTCACAATTTCATTCAATAGTCTTTTTTTGAATTTCGAACACAGAATTTAAAGAAACAAAAGACAATTTGGAGCCTGTTTGTTGATATCAAACAATCGAATACTAAGAAAACTTGGTTTTATTGGTTTATTTGGATTTAATTCTTGAAAAAGTGATTGATATCTTTGGTTTTGCAACAAACATTACTTATTCTTTACAAGGTGAGATTCTATCAATAATCTATGGATACTTCACCTGAAGTCGCCGCCCAAGCTGTGGCACTTATTCAGGCCGGACACAGCAAAAGAAACGTGAGTGCACAACTTAATTTAAGTCGATCTGCGGTCCGAAATGTTTATCGGAGGTACCTAGAGACTGGCGGCTTTGTTCGTCGCCAAGGAAGGCCACGATCTCGGGTCACAACTGAAAGGCAGGATCGATTCATCGTGACGACCAGCTTGAGAAATCGTGACCTTACCTCCATTGAGATACAAAAACAAATTCGCGACTTCCACGGAGTATCTGTGAGCGCTCGAACTGTTCGGAGAAGGTTGAAAGAACGCGATATGGTACCACACAAGCCAGCTAATGGGCCCAAACTAACGCGAGCCCACCGAACAGCGCGCCTTCATTTCGCACGCAGTCATTTAAATTGGACACAGCAAGATTGGAGCCGTGTACTCTTTTCTGATGAGTCTAAAATTGTGTTACATGGCAATGATGGAAGGATGAAGGTCTACCGACGTAAGGGAGAGCGTTTCGCACAATGCTGCTTTGAAGAGAGGGTTGCTTATGGCGGTGGCTCATGGACTGTCTGGGCGAGCGGCAAAACTCAACTTGAGGTTGTTACAGGACCACGGCTGCCAACATTAAATGCTGAAAGGTACATTCGTGAGTGCTTAGAACCTCACGTGATACCATACGCGGACTATGTGGGCCCAAATTTCCTTTTTATGCATGATAATGCAAGAGCCCATGCGGCCGGCATCGTCAGGGAATATCTTCGGGATGTGAACATCACAGTTCTGGACTGGCCAGCCAGAAGCCCAGACGTGAACCCCATTGAGCACATGTGGGACGAGCTAAAAAGACGTGTTAGGGCTCGTCAGCCAGTTGCCCAGACGATGCAGGAGTTGAAAACTGCCATAGAAGAGGAATGGGAGATGATCCCTCAAAATTTCATAGAGCGGTTGATAAACTCTATGCCTAATCGTATGAGAGCTGTGGTAGATGCCCATGGAGGCAACACGCGTTATTAAATTAAACCTTTATTTGATAAAACATGTTTTTTATTCAAAAATCAATTGCCTTTAACAAGACGCATATCCGACTTGTTAGGCGTAGCTCCATGTCGTATGGTATTCTGAATTCAAATTTAAAAGAATACTATCGAAAAAGATGGTAAAATGTATCAGGTTTAAAACTGCATCAACAGTTTTTGTTCAATCTAGCAATCATATTTCGGTAGGGGCCATCGAAACCTAAACTCTAAGGTGGGCCAATAGATGTGTCCAGAAGTGTATTATTCTTATCTTATGGGCTTGTATGTAGTATTATGGGTATCTTGTTTTGCGATCAGTTAAAGTTCTTCCTTCCTTATGGAGCAATAATCGGGTCTCATTTATTACCTGACCGTTTTTGAGGTAGCAGAAGTGAATTATACCATAAACTGACCTCTGAACATGTACCAACACCTTTTTCAGCTTAACAGCTTCGATTTAGGGCATTTTCTGCTGTACCGGTTAATAAGGTACGGCAAGATTCAAAGTTCATTAGTTCAGTCAAATCATGTGGCTGTTCACATAAGTCAGCGGAGATTACAGCGTTACGATAAGATTTTTCTCGTGCCTCTGTATTGAAGTCGTAGTTTCAAAAACGAACTCGTTCTACGTTGTCTCTTCTACAAAGTCGAATAATCTACCTACCTACCTTTCTAAATACATATTCGAAAATTACTCTTGTTTTTTTAAATAGTTAAAAGTCGAAAAATCACAGGAGTCTTTTAATTGAGAGTGAGCTTAATTTTAGCTCAAAGTAACCATAAAATAATGCGGCAATTCCATATTTAAACCCCCATCAGATACCTAAATCATCAAGACAATATGGTTTTTTTGTTTAAATTAATCGAAATTACTTAAGCCCTTTCACATTTTTTGCAAAAGATCGTAATTTTTGAGCGCCTCGTTAACCCCCTTAGAAAAGATTTTGACTATTTCCAATAGAAGTAAACAGTAGATTTATACTTCTTATTGTAAGTTATTGTAGAATATTTGCAAATACTATTTTCCTTTTTTTGTACTGATCGTGCTGCTACAGCTAGTTTACGGAAAAAACGATAATATGCACAACTTCAAACGCCTCAATCTCTCAATGTTCAATAAATTAGATCAAATTAATTACTAAGATATCAGAAATATGTTTTTGTTGTAACATAATGTATAAGAATTTTGATTTTTCATCTCATTAATTATCAAAAATAAAATCTAGCTCCATAAGTTTGCCCAAAAAATAATGCAGTTACCTCGTATTTTGATATTGAATTAAATAGAATTACTATCAAAAACTTATCCACCATCATTAAACTACTGAAATATGTATATATTTGTATAATTAGTTCATAAATAATTATTTTATAAGATTCGAAACATCACCCGTAATATGCAATATATACTAGTGCAAATCTACCTACGCGCCGATTAGTACGGTAGCGGCGCAATTTTGTAAAAGGGCTCTGAACTGTTGGATCTAACTCGCATAAAGTTTAATATTTCCACATTAACTTTACTTTTAAATTCCCTAGACCAATTCTTATGAATATTTACAGGACCAATCAAATGATCCTTATAATTTTTGATTTACAGTTACTTTCAATTTATTGTGTTAGAAACTTATCATTTTGCCCTTTCGATTAATCCCAGTCGTCACATCATCGTCGTTCTTACTGGTAAAATAATTCGAAAAAATGATCCACAATTATATAGGCCCGTCAGTGGCAAAATTGACATAAGAAAATCACTACAATTAGGTATTTCATTTATATCAGTCATTACCTAATTGCATAAAATTCTACCAGTGAATATTTTTTTCAAAAACAAATTAAGTACACCGCAATATGACTACATAACCAGAACAGCTTGTGATTGTTGCGTAGTTAGGTTTAAGTATTATCACTGACAATATGAAGATTATATTTCCCATTTTGTTAGCAGTAGAAACGACCCAAAGTGTGACGGCTTTAGGATTGTAGTACAGGATAATTTAATAATGAAATTAATTCGATTTTGCTCAATACTTGTGAAAGTTGGTTTATTATAGTGTTTAAAAACAAAAAATATATCTCTGTTGTTTTTTAGGGAAAGAGGCCAATAAATACCATCACAATAAGTCTTCACCAATTTTGCGTTTTCTATTATGAGTCATTTGAGGTCCATACTTTTTTCATATTATATGATTAGATGTATTATGTTCAAAGTTAACTAATAAGAGGGAGCTGTAGGAAAATAAGGATATTAATGAAATGAAATTAAAGTTATAAGTAAATATTTCTTACACTCGCACTAACGAGCCTAGCTATTCTGCGAATCTACTATAGCGAATAGAAAGTAATACTGAAGAAAGAAGTTAAATGGTATAATTATCTAAAGACAAGTATATATTTGTAAAAATGTACATAAACAGCCATGAGTCGGATACAAATGCTTGTATTCACCATACAAACATAGGTGACGGAGATTATTACTCTTGCATGAGGCTCTAGACCGGTGATTCTTAACCTTTTAGTGACAAGGGTTTTGCCACGGACCATCACTTACGATTTTCACCGCTCCCCCCTAGGATTTGTAAATTGATTTACAAAGCATTCTGCCTCCTGTGATATTGTTTCGAATGGCTTCGCGGACCACTACGGGTGCTTTCAGGGACCACCAGTGTTCTGCGGACCACTGGTTAAGAACCACTGCTCTACAGACGGACTGCATTCTGACGGCCAGCATCCCGACTGCCAAATTGCAGTTCAAATGCAGGTTGAATGCAATTGGCACGATTGCAATGAAAGTGCCAACTATCTGTGCAATCCTATTGCAGTCAGCGGGCAGTTGCCAGTACGAGTGGTTGGCGGATTTATTGCAGTCGTGCCAACTGCATTAAAACTGCATTTGAGGTGCAATTTTGCGATCGGAATAAGTACCTACTATTAAAATGCATTCCGTCCGTCTAGACTTCTAGAGTGTGTCGATAAAGTGTTAACGTGGCAAAACATATGCCCCTTATTAATAAACGAGGAATAGGTACGTTTTGACTAGTAACGCTATGTTTTGTTCATGTCATGTTATTCAAATGCCATTTGTAATTCATTGAACAGTGTCAATACTTGGAGTAACTGATCGAAGCTTATTCTTTGTTTATTAATAAGGGGCTACGGTTTTGATAAATATTATGTTTCTGTGATTCCGGATTTCCGTTTTGATTATGCATCTACACAATCCTTTCATGTGATTAAATTGACATTAGAATGAATCACATTTTTAATATTATCCTGTAATTGTATAGTAGTTAATACTTCATTATAATGTTAAGATTCTACTCATATAAATCGTTATGTAACTGTAATTAAAAAAGTAAACGTAATTATAGCTGGTAAGGGACTTATGCGAGATGATAAGAACAAAAACTGGTATTCAAAAACCAATAGTAAGGGCTAAATTGGATCGACTCTTTGAAATGAGGCTGTCAAATGGAGACACGTAAGTAACAATAAATATTTATAAACTTATTGACTTAGTATTTAAAAGGTGGGTTAAAATATTAATAGGTTACGTTCGACCGACATAGAATAAGACGGAGATCTCGGGGCTTCCGGCGGGTCGGCATATACATACAGGCTAAAGTTACTCGGGGAACCAAACCACCCTAATTTGCCATACCCTGATACGACAGCGTTCAATCGTTTCACATCTCTTTATCCTTCATAATAGTAGTAGTTAATGGCAGCACCACTTACAGTTAGAAAAAGTTTGGATGTACAGCGGTGCACACCCTCACTCCTTTCATGCTGTTTGCGGTTGAGTTCTGCAATCCACCACCGTCTTGAGACAGCACGGCCAGCGTTGTTGTGTCTTGCCTGCTCTACACGTTGGCCAACATTGTAGCAAATATTATGGCAAAGATATTAGCCAAGAGTTTGTGATGGCATCCACACGTTGGAAGGTAGTATAGTTTGCTTCGGTTCAAGCCAATGTGCGGACGAATTTATTAAATTTGATATATAGACGCTAACGGCTCCTGCGATTTATTTATTCACAGCATATCCTTATTATAGTTAATATACTAATATACACTATAGATACGACGCGTGAATATACAATTTGAATCAGGTGCGTGCATGTGATCACTCTGGCAGCTCTTGGCAAACTAAACGCGCGGCCAACTGGCGCGTCTGCATGGACGCGCTAGCCATAACTCGACCACAGCTCTTTCATCTTTTTTGATAAAAAACGACACTATACGCATCTTGCGCCAACTTTTGGGCCATCATTCCAATACTTAACAAGATAAACACAAACCCCATCTCTACACGATGGCTATAAAAAATGGCCATATCCATTTGCTAAAATGCTGGCCAATGTGTGGAGCAGGCATCTGACGGAGACAAATACTTCCGCCGGATAATACAGGCTACCTTTACTAGCCTGGCTACGTCTTTGAAGCGAATTCGGTTTACGTCTGTTTGTTCGGGACTCTTGATCACGCTTTCAAGGATCCCGTAGTCGCTTCCCAAAAACTGCCTACAAAGTGTTTTGTAGTCTTGCAAGAAGTATGAACTCCTGCGGCTTACAGTATGCCCAGTGTCTTGCACGTATTTGCCACGAAATGATAACGAGATCCTACGGCCTCTCATTATTTATTGACGTTTGGTCAAGTCAGTGCAACTTTTGCCAACCCCGGTCTCACCTCTGAGGTGTCCAGACGGATCACTAGCTCATAAGCCACAGGAGAAAAAAGCCACAGGAGAAAACCTATTTACTGGAAATACTCTGCGGCTCCTGAATTGATGATTGCAATGCACTGTCACCGTCATTACCATCAGGCAACGCGAGGCTCGTCTCGAATAAGGGCTACCGTTTTTTGCCTCACCAGATGGCACCTCTCTGTTTAGTGCTTTCCTGAAATGTAGTTGTTTAAAGTTTGTTATTACGCGCATGAAATCAAAGTTTACATTTAAATCATATTTTAATACAAAAGAACCGTATCGTAAATATAATCGGCCATGCCAGTGTTGCGCAGTTCCGTTTTGTTCGGAAAAACGGAGGACATAATATTTTTCTTAGCTCTTTCCTTAAATCAGTAACAATAGACATTCATTGACACGTAACTCATATTTGCCATAATTAATCTGAGTTATTACTAAATATTCACAACATTATTTTAATTGAAATAAACCTGCTTTCACCCCACAAGCAATAAACATTTGACATTTCGGAGACCTCACGCTACACAAGCGCCTCTAGAGGCGGATTCATACGCGATAGCCCTCATTGCAATCACTCGATATCCGGACAGCTAGTGGATCCGATGGCATCCCAACCGCAGTGCTCGAAAATGTGCAGTGGAGTTGTCTCCTGTGCCGATGTGCTTTGTACCAGATAGGGTTCACACCTGCTACCTAGAAAATCACTCGGATATAATTTGACTGGTTCGATTCTCGGGTCTTTATTAATATATTTACCTTTATTATACTTCCCATCTATGAGATTTTTTAAAATACATAATTTACTGTGTTATAAAATTTATTTTATGATAATTTTCTTGTTTGTTATTAATTGTTATTCTACACAGCTTCTTCATTCCGTTTCAGATTTTTGCATATGACTTTATGTAGGAAAGAACCAAGCTTAGAGTGCATTATTAAGCTGGTTCACAGCATGAAAATGACGCATTTGCTCAATCTTACAAACAAACAGTCACAAACTATTCTACATTTGGCCGTAATACACGATATGCCCAATGTCATACCTTTACTCGTAGACAAAGGTGAGAAAATAATAAATTCATATAAAGTTCAATACTTTCACGCTCTGTATCTCTTGGGGGGTTGATAGAGTGTCAATTTTACGCTAGCTAAAAATAAATATTTCATTTTGTTCGAAGAATTAAATTGTATTAATTAATACTACTTTGATAATTACTTTTAAGTAATCCATTGTTTCGTCGCCGTCGTTTTACTATATTTGCATTGTATCAACGTTGATAGCATCATCTTATAATAAGATAGATCATTATTCAAGCAACGTTTTTTTCTAAACTCATAAATATTTACATATATATAAACACTACTAGAATAATTACTGCTAAAAGCTTTGTTTGGCAAACCACCATCGGATTCTACTTACAAAATAATTTATATTTACCTATAGGTTGCGATCCAATGATAGAGGACCTTGAAGGGAACAATGTAATACATAACGCTGTTATATACCAATCGTGCTTGGAACCTTTACTGACTGCACTCAAGCGCAGTAGAGTTTCTTTCAACTTGAACGCGTTTAACAATGGTAAGTAAGACTTGACAGCTTGGTTTATTACAAATCATCTATGATTTGATTTCGCTTAATGATTGTTGATATTAGGCTAGGTTAAATATTAATTTAATATAGGTACATTATAAGAGTATAATCTTATAAGTGTGTGCAATATTGCTTCTTTAAAATATGATCATACCAATTGTCCAACTGTATTGTTAATTTTATTTGTGGTTTTTCCAGATCTGTATTAAAATCACTCTTACCATTAATCATTATAAATAAATAAATTGTTAGAAATGTGAAAGTTTCGTTTCAAAAACAAACAAAGAACTTATTGCATCCATTTATACCACTTGTAAGTTTTATCACAAACTCAGCATTGATATTTTCATCGATGTATTCGTTCCTTTTATATAGAAAAGCAAACAGCGTTGCATTTGGCCGTGATCCACAAAAGCGCTGCAAGCGTTAGACAGCTGATGAGAAATGGCGCTAGCAATAATGTTCGGGACAGCGACGGTAGAACGCCGCTGCATCTAGCCGCTTACGACGACTGCCTGGAAGTCGCGCAGGAACTGCTAGAATACGTGGCGCCGGTCAGTTTATAATACCCTTAATATTGCATTTAACCGTGATCCACAAAAGCGATGCAAGCGGTAGACAGCTGATGAAAAATGGCGCTAGTAATAAAGTTCGGGATAACGACGGCAGGACGCCGCTGCATCTAGCCGCTTACGACGACTGCCTGGAAGTCGCGCAGGAACTGCTAGAATACGTGGCGCCGGTGAGTTTATAATACCCTTAATATTGCATTTAACCGTGATCCACAAAAGCGATGCAATCGGTAGACAGCTGATGAAAAATGGCGCTAGTAATAAAGTTCGGGATAACGACGGCAGGACGCCGCTGCATCTAGCCGCTTACGACGACTGCCTGGAAGTCGCACAGAAACTGCTAGAATACGTGGCGGCGGTGAGTTTATAATACCCTTAATATTGCATTTGACCGTGATCCACAAAAGCGCTGCAAGCGTTAGACAGCTGATGAAAATTGGCGCTAGTAATAATGTTCAGGATAACGACGGCAAGACGCTGCTGCATCTAGCCACTTACGATGACTGACTGGAAGTCGCGCGCGATAATGTAGCGCGGTGAGTTTCGGCTTTATAGTGCTCGACATAAGGTTCAAAATTTATTGAGAGAAATTATTATTTTGTGTTAAGTTGCAGTATATCCTTATCGTGCTCAATAGGGAATATTTAAATAAAATAGCGATATCTGCAGACAATTATCCGTCGAATTTGATAAATATTAAAATTACTGGAAAGATCCATTCAGTTCAAATGGCCGTGTTGAAATTCTCCTAGTAAAAAATAATTATGTTTTTATTTATTTTCTTAAGCATTTAACTGCTAGATGTTTAAATCTAAAGAAAAGGCTACTAGAAAAAAATCCTAGCGGACGGGACTCGAACCCGCATCCTTCCTGCCTTGCAGCTTAAGGCTAGGAAAATTTCGACGCGGCGAATAGGGCCGTGGTAGCATAATGGTCAGTGCATTCGCCCGGATTTCGAAGGATGCGGGTTCGAGTCCCGTCCGCTGCCTGGTCCGCGTGGATTTTTTTCTAGTAACCTTTTCTTTAGATTTAAACATCTAGCAGTTAAATGCTTAAAAACATAAATAAAAACATAACTATAATTGCTATTTCTTCTTTCAAATGTTTAATTCTTGAAAAAGTATTCATTTGACATTGTGGGTTACCTACAATGCGAAGAGATGGCGCTGCCTTGCAGCTTAAGTCTAGGAAAATTTCGACGCGGCGAGTAGGGCCGTGGTAGCATAATGGTCAGTGCATTCGCCCGGATTGCGAAGGATGCGGGTTCGAGTCCCGACCGCTGCCTGGCCGGATTTTTTCTAGTAACCTTTTCTTTAGATAAAAAATAATTATGAAAGTGACTAATATGACGTCGGGATAGCTGGTATCCTTAAATGTTTTGATTAATCTTTAAATATTGAGGTAACTAATCCTTCATGATAGGAAGCAAATTGTAGCAAATAAGCAATTATTTTCCACTATATTAAATAAGCTTGCAAGTGAACCGAATAAATATTTTTCTAGTAAAATTTTCTAAAGATCTATAATTCAGCAGTTGAAAGCTGAAATAAAAATATAATGTGTTACTAATTTGATAATTCACAGAGTGAGATTGATGCATTAGACGGGAGGGGATACACTGCACTCCAAGTTGTATGCGACGGTGGTGTCAGGAAGCACACTTATGATTTGGTCAAACTATTGTTACTGAAAAAGGTAAGTTATTAACTGAGATGATGCTCTATTATTTGAACAATCTCGTAAAAAATATTTATTTTATTTTATTTATTTATATCTTCATATGGCCATGCCATAACTAGGAACGATCTTACCCAATTCGTCTATCTTTATTCTGAGTATTCTAATGCTTTGTGGAATGTTCTTATGAAAAAAAAAGAAAGTTAAGAAAACTTCAATGACGATAGGTGGCGTTAAAGTATAGTTTTAGATTTTTTTATATAATAAATTAAAAATGCAATTAAAACAACAACAAGTGTGTGCAAGTAGCTAGCTCTCACTGTCTTGAAACAATGAAATAGTACTTATATTTAATTTATATTGTAAATGAAATAAGATTATATTTATTCATATCACATATCCCTTGCGGGCAGAAAATAAATAAAATTTCCTACGTCCCAATTTTTCCGTGCAGATAGTAAAAGCCTTCATACGGCCTTTTTCCAATTTTTTACAAGTTGTTTCAAATTATGAACTTAGACCCGTTAATTGCTAAAATGAACGGAGTCAGTCCATAAAGATAGCTCTGTTTATACTGATGTATGTTTATTTGTCTCATGCTGCTGCTTCCGCTTTTTTGATTGCTCTATAAAGGGATATTTGGTGAGCATTTCTGTTGTTATGTGTTTTACGACTAAAGTACGGTCGCCGGGCAGAAAGAATTTCGTACAATGACCCCACGCTACCCATCCTTATCGTTCGCGCGCAATTATGTTGCTGTCACGCTAGCACACAGTACTACACATGGTACGTGTGCGAGCGAGACAGTAACATAATTGCGCGCGAGCGATAAGAATGGGTAGCGTGGGGTTATTGTACGAAACTCTTTCTGCCCGGCGACCGTACTATCTTTCACCAGTTTCTGATGAAGATTCAGATAAAATTCTCGCGCTCTAACTAATAAAAGTTAGTGTATAACGCTCTAACCGATAAAAGTTGTTATATAACGCTGTATCCGATAAAAGGTGACAGCTCTCAGCTGCTAGATTATGCTATTCAAGAGCTAAGAAACTTTTCTGGAATATAAGTTGCGAAAAGGTTATCGGGCACTTTATCAGCAACTTGTGAAACAATGGGCTCTCTCTTGGAACTTTAACTAACTAAATAAAAGTGTCAATGTCCAAATGTTTCTATACGAGCAATTGTATCTGATGCCGGGACTTCACTGCCTATTCGTGTTTTCTATTTCTACAAACTGTACAAATTAGTCGGCTAACACTGTCAAAGAAGGTATTTTTAATGTCATCAAAAATTTTGTCGTAATGCAATATGTTTCCAAGTAAAAAACGTAATCTAAAAAGTGGAGATCAAAAGAGCTCACAAACATGAATCATTCCATTCGTTCACGAAAATTGTTTGTGATTCCGAACTTGTACGAAATGTGCGTGTTCGAAAATGAAATAGAGTACAGTCACTGGCGAAATTTTGTTAAAAATTCGTTCGTTGCCGAAAGGACATTGGGCAAAAATGTATGGACGCTGCACCCACGTCCGCCACGGCTTAAACTACATTTGTTTGAAAGGTATTATAGTCGAAATCATCTGTGCCAAAGCGCATCAAATTCCATCCCGGGGGTCTTTAGTTATTTTAAGGTAAATATGTACAAGTACTATAACGAACGAACATTAATGAAACAAGGGAATTGATTTAGTTAGCTAGTTCGACCCTACATAGGGTGCTCAGGAATTATGGGAGTACTTCACAAGGTGCAAGGGTGCCCCCTTATGTTATTCTGCCGCGCTAGAGTAAATCCAAAAATCCCCGCTTGGGTTGGGTTTTTTTTAAACATTCTGTTCGTTATAGTAAATTGTCTTCTATGTAAAACGGAGCGACCACAGATTACACAAACTTCTCCACGCTTCGGAGAACACTTGACTCCAGTTCATCCCTACTAATTGACAAAACCGATAATCGTGTTCCAATATCCAAAGCGTGTTAGATAAGAAACAATCAAGTAGCAGGGAGCGCACAATCACAACGAAGTAAGACGAGACGACTATTTGCAACTGAAAGTCCTTCATCATCCGTAAACCGTTTTTAAATGTCTAAGTCAGCTATACTCTAAGTGTGTTCCGCGGAACCCTAGGGTTCCGTGATACCTCTGTCGGGGTTCCGCAAGAATTTAGAAATAAAAAAATCAAAACACCTCTCTCTGGTCGCTCCGCGGCTGTGCGGACTCCGCGGCCGCGCGGAGACAAAACGCTATGAATGTTATTTATTTATTTATTTGTATTTGTATAAGCTTGTGTTACATTAGCTGGTACAATATCTCATAAGTTTGGTCTCAACAATTTTATACTTGTACAACGCGTTCGCTCTAAGTTTGCCGGTCTGTGGAATGCGCGTACCCTCCCCCACGTGACAACAAAACTTATAATGTGTCATAGTTTTACCCAAATATCTAACGTACACAATTTTTATTGTTACAATTAAATAAAAAATTTCGAACGTCATACACTCATACCTATCGCCAGCGGCAAACTTAAAACGAGCGGGTAGTATACTTGTAAGCGCTCAGTCTCTTTGATAAAAGCCGCCTCTGAATTAGACGCTATAGTTGTCAACTAGCGACTTTCGTCTCTAACTTCAAAGGATAAAGTCGATATTGTTTACAACGCTATTTTTAAATTTCTGTTTTTATTTTTGCTTTTTGTTTATCAAAGGTGCCGACTCGAGTATTTTCGAGAATATTTGAGATCGAGTCTAGGACTAAGTATAAAAGCGGCGATCGCGCGTTGGCGTCGTCAGTTGATGATTAGCGTTCGGAGCGATAAGTTACTACCTACTTACAAGCTCGCTAGCGAGAAACTGGTGTTCATTGTTTTACTGCCTGCTGTATTCTGTTGTCTCAGTTTTATACATTTCTTCCCTGTAGGTTCTAAATTTAGTCTCTTATACGCAGTAACGATTGTGCATTATTTAAACCCCACTATCCTGACTTGTAACATTATAAATAAAGAAGAATGGAACGTTGGCTTAAAGGTGTTAAACGTGTTCCAACAACATCTTCTAATGACGCTGAATGTTCAAAAGCAATGCGCGCGGAGAATTTAGCAATCACCGATCCAGAAGATGATGCCACGAGTGCCACGACGTCAAGCTCGACGGTTTCAAAGACGAAAAAAAGGAAGTATGATGAATCTTATATCAGTTTCGGATTTGTTGATTCCAACGGCTCACCTCTCTGCATGCTCTGTAGTAAACTGCTTCCTAATAGTTCCATGGCACCTGCCAAATTGCGTCGACATTTAGAAACCGTACACCCCGAGACTAAAGACAAGAATAAAGAATTTTTTGTTCGCAAAAAAGATCAGTTATTAGAAAGTCAAAAAAATATGATGCATGTAACACAAACTACCAACGAAAAGGCCACGGAGGCATCATACTTAGTTAGCTATCGCATTGCACAAGCAGGTGAAGCGCACACTATCGCTGAGAAATTAATAAAACCATGTGTATTAGACATAACAAAATGTATGCTTGATGAAAAATCTGCAAAGCATCTTTCTACTGTTCCGCTATCAAACGATACTGTTTCACGACGAATCCATGATCTGGCAAGCTACGTCAAACAAGAACTAGTTACACGTCTACAAAATACACGATTCGCTTTGCAAATGGACGAGTCGACTGATGTCGCTGGTTTGGCTATCCTGCTGGTTATTGTGAGATATCCATATAAAAGTTCTTTTGAAGAAGACATGCTTATGTGTTCATCGCTGCTTACAAACACTACCGGGGAAGAAATTTTTAATAAAATAAATATATTTTTTGAAGAACATAATCTCAGTTGGAACAATTGCATTGACATTTGTACAGATGGGGCCAAGGCGATGACAGGTAAAACAGCAGGAGCAGTGTCACGAATGAAAAATAAAGCGCCTAATTGTAGTTCCAGTCATTGTATTCTGCATAGACAAGCACTTGCGATGAAGCAAATGCCGTCTAATCTAAAATTAGTTATGGATGAAGCGGTAAAAATAATTAATTTTATCAAATCACGACCACTACAATCCCGATTGTTCTCATTATTGTGTGAAGATTATGGCAGCAAACATAAAACACTGCTGCTCCATACAGAAGTGCGATGGCTGTCTCGGGGAAAAACTTTAACAAGGCTATTTGAACTTAGAGCCGAGTTACAAATGTTTCTTTCAGCAGATACTTCTTTTAATTTGAAGGACCGTTTGTATGATAAAACTTGGTTGTTCCGATTGTCTTTTATGGCGGATATCTTTCAAAAACTTAACGAATTAAATTTATCATTGCAAGGTAAACAGACAACAGTGTTTCAGGCCTATAATAAAATAACTACTTTTAAAAGAAAATTAGATTTTTGGATCATTTGCATTGGTAAGAAAGAAATAGAAAGTTTTACGTTACTCACTGAGTTTGTTAGCGAAAACGACTCAGAAATGTTTGAAGATAATGTGTTTGAAGAATTGGTCCAATATCTCAGTTCGATGCGCGCATCTTTTGAAAAGTATTTTCCCGAAGAACACAATACAAAAATTAAAGTGAACTCCTGGATTCATAATCCTTTTTTACCCAACTTGGAAAAGCCTGAAAACATGTCAAATGAGATATATGAATCTCTTTTAGAAATGTCATCAGACACAAGTATGGAGTCATTGTTCAAAACGACGCCTCTTAATGATTTTTGGTGCAGAATCCAAGATGAATATGCAATGCTTGGCCAAATGGCTCTGGATATTCTTCTCCCGTTCCCAACTACATATTTGTGCGAAACAGGATTCTCTACCTACGCAGCCACGAAAACAAAATATCGCAATAGACTGGACGCCGAAGCTGATATGAGACTCCAACTTTCTTCCATCAAACCTGATATCAAGCAATTGATGAAAAATAAAAAACAGTTTCATACCTCCCACTAGTTAGATTTTTTCTTTTTTAATGTTTTCTATTATTGTCCTTACCAAGTGGTGAAGTAAATAATAATTAGTAACGGATACATTGTACTTTTATTATGCTGATTAATATAGAATACACTTATAAAAATAATTGTTTTATTGTAGGGTTCCATCAAGTATTTTGCTTCCCAAAAGGGTTCCGTCATTTAAAAAGTTTGAGAACCACTGGTCTAAGTAATAGCAAGCGCAGGATGGTCGGCAGGCTTTGTCGTATATCTGGTTGTACAGTACGATATGGCATATTATTATGATTACTAATAATATAAAATGAAGGTACTATAAAATTAATTTATTCAGCTACTTAAATATGCCCATGTGTTATATCTATTGACTACCAGGATATTTTTTACGGTGTCATATCTTTTGAATCCCAGGATATTTATTTTCGGTGTCATAATAAAAAAGGCTAGTTTTTCATAGATCTATCGATTCATACTAATTACATTGTTGGCGGAGCTGGGTGCGTTTTGCCCATTGTCCTTTCGTTTCGGAGAATGGGAGTAGAGCTCCTGGTCCTTTGTCTAATGTCTATTCACGCATATTAAAATATTTGCTGTATTTCTTTATTGCTCGTGAATATTTTGAAGGCTGATCCTCGTAAGTGCGAAGAGAACAGTTCGTCAGCGTGGCACATGGCCAAAGACAAGCCGTTGATAAGGGAGGTCATGAAGGCTTGTTCTGCCTTCACTGTCGGTCTCGAAGATGACGACATCAAATCGGAACCGGAAGACGAGTTCGAGTCTGCTGATGAAAGCGTAAGTACTTAAAATCGTGTGTCTTTTTAGGGTTCCGTGCCTCAAAAGGAAAAAACGGAACCCTTATAGGATCACTTTTTTGTGCGTCCGTCCGTCTTTCAAGACCGTTTTTCTCAGGAACGCATAGAGGTATCAAACTGATATCCATATCTAATACTCAGGTCTACTGTCCTTTGGAGCTGTGAAAAAAACAAACTTCTAAGCCAAAGCAATCAAAAGATACAGGTAGCCGTTTATGCCGCAAATTTCTGCAATTTTTCGAAACTCGCACGGGAATCAAAACCTACCTACAGGGTATTTCCCGTGAAATTTGGTACGAAGTAACGTCCTATAGTACAAGATAAAGGAATAATGCGAAAAGCGTAAATTTTTAGTTACATTATAAATATAAAATATTTTTGAAAATATTAAAGTTACTACCTTTTTTCTCATGAACGCGTAGAGGTATTAAATTGAGTTTGTACGGAACCCTCGGTGCGCGAGTCTGACTCGCACTTGGCCGGTTTTTTTCAAAGCGGCCACCCGAAACTGCATCGTCATTAACTTTAGTTTTTTGAAATCCCTCAGGAACCTAACACTGTTCTAGGATCAAAAGTATCCTATGTGTCTTTCCAAGTAACAAGCTGTCTGTGTAAAATTTTATCCATATCCGTTCAGTCGTAACATACGTAATAGTAGGACTATCCGCCGCACCTTGCAAAGGTTAACTTTATTTTAACGCAATAAAATATAGCCTTTTCTTACTCAAGGATAATGTAGCATTCTAATGTGGATAGAATTTTTCGAAATTGGTCAAGTAGATTTGAGTTTATTCGTTACAATCGTAATAAAAATACAATCTTAACTATTTTTTATATAAGCCTGATACGATTGTAAATCGTATTTTGAATATCGGCTACATATTAAAATAACAAGCCATTGCGTATGAGCGTTTAAGATGACATAATATGACTAACGCATTTTTTTGTAATTCAAATATTTTTTTGTTGTCATTGATCTCTTTAGGAGATAGTGGACAGTGGTTTAGCCGAGTTGTCTCAGTACTCGGGTGAAGTATGCGCCATATTGGATGCAAGCGAAGGCTGGCGCCGCCTCGCCGACCGCCTGCAGTTGCAAACACTGCACTCCTGGTATGCCAACACTAGCAGCCCGGCGCGGACCCTGCTGCACCACTTAAAGGTGACTCCATCATCTTCCCCTTATCAGTGCTTCAATACGCGGGCGAGGGCTGCAGCAGACGCTGCACTCCTTGTATCAACACTAGCAGCCAAGCGCGGACCCTGCTGCATCACTTGAAGGTGACTTCATCATCAACCTCCTAGCAATGCCTCAATATGCGGGCGAGGGCTGCAGCAGACGCTGCACTCTTGGTACCAACACTAGCAGCCCACAGCGGACCCTGCTGCACCCCTTGAAGGTGACTCCATCATCAGCCCCCTATCAGTATCAAAAAATAAACCTCTCGCCATCTACTACAAAAAAACCTTTTCATAGATTTCAGGAGTGGCTTAATGGGTTAGGTTTGGTAGGGTTTACTGTCGTGACCTAAATGGCGGCCGGTGAAGTGCCAAGACTCGGCCAGAACCTGAACTTAGAAACACAGTCCGCGGAATTACAAACTCGTAGCATAAAAGTAATTTTGACAGTAACGCCTGTCTTTTGCCAGTGACCTCTGTCAACTATAACCATAACCTAGCAAATTTCGACGTTACAGTCTTGGATGGAATACAGTTATTCCGCTATGATCCACCACGCGAACCCAGTGCGGTTTGGTGGGTGCTACGACTATATTCAGCCGGGACCAACGGCTTAACGTGCCTTCTGAAGCACGGAGTAGCTTGAGATATTAAATTTTCGTTCAACCCCTCCGATGCCCGGCATTCTGAAAGTTGCTTAACTTTTACGATCGCAGGCTAAACGCGCTTACATAAAACATGCAAAGAAATATGTAGGACTTGAAGTACTCTCAATCTTATAATTCGATATTATTTAAAAAAAATGGATGCGTGTAACTTATGTACGCGCGTGAGAAGTTATACTTCTTTAGCATCATTAAAAATATTTTTTAATTGCATGCAAATAATTAATAATTACAATAAAATAATAAAAGGACTGGAAAAGGATAGTTAACACAGTCAATTAAGTTCAGTTTTAATTTGAAATATTAAATAAATATTCAAAATATTCAAATAAAATCACTACTGAATTTAAGTTATTAGTCCATATGTAATTAGCACTTGTAAGTAACTAAAACACGTTGTGTCTATATAGAAACTAGAAACATGTGGATAAATATTATAAATATGAAAACAGTGATCAGAGGCGACGAGCGTGCCAACATTGTTTTTGACAACGCGATCATCTTATGGAGCTCCGTGGATCGTTCAAAGTACCTTTCGAACAGATGTCTAATAATGGTGGATTATTAACCACTTAGTGGTACTAACCACTAACATTCATAACGCGCCCGCGGCCAACTTCATGGTGTTACTATTGTGTTACAGTGATACGCGCGCATCTCGAAATTTCACTCACATGATATTTTTCATAACGCGCCCGCAGCCAACTTCATGCTGTTAGAAAAAATTCCACGCGGACCAGGCAGCAGACGGGACTCGAACCCGCACCCTTCGCAATCCGGGCGAATGCACTGACCAATTATGCTACCGCGGCCCTCACGGTCAGTGCATTCGCCCGGATTGCGAAGGGTGCGGGTTCGAGTCCCGTCTGCTGCCTGGTCCGCGTGGAATTTTTTCTAGTTATATTTTCTTTAGATTTAAACATCAAGCAGTTACATGCTTTAAAAATAATAAAATTTATAACTATTCATGCTGTTACTTTTGGGTTACAGTGATGCGCGCGCATCTTAAAATTTCACTCTCATCATTTTTTCATAACGCGCCTAAAGAATAACTTCAAAAAAATGTTAAACTAAACTTTTCTCCAAAGAAATTGTGACTGAACTCTTCAATAATGTTTTTTTAAAGATAATGTGAAATTGAATGAAATACACACATCAGCGTCTTTCCATTCTATACAAGGCCAGAACGCAGCCATAGGAAACTCGCGTATATATTGTAATGCTGTTTTGTAATTGTAAAACTGTGATTACAATTTATACACGAATTTTGCGTACTGATCGTGTAAAGTTTTCATCATGGATGCTCGCGTCTTCGTTCTCGACTACACTACACCTCTTACCTGCTTAAATTTTTCAAGTGTTAAAAATGGTTATATACAGATTCAGTAAAGTATGGAAATTATATTTAAACTTAAGCAGTAAGGATTAAAATAGAAAAATAAAAAATCCAACACACACCAATTAGCCTAGCTGTGTTATGGAATACTAGGGTAACGGATAGAATACATATATTGTACATACATAAGTATATTTATTTAGAAATACATATTAAACATCCATGACTAGTGTACAAATGTTCGTGTAGGCGACTTTCCTACTTTTACCTTAATTTAAATTCATTTGATAATATTTTACATTAATATTTATTTACAAGTACACTATAATATATATATATCCATAATAACATTTACATAAATTCAATATTTAAGTTTGTTTACATTTCTATTAAAGTATTAACTCAATAGCGTATACCAGCTGGACGACGTAGTAGGTCCTGCCACAAGCATGCACACTTTAAAGCTGTCCTATTGTTTGGATTTAAACTGGTAGGCGCGGCTTCCCGGCCGGCGCGCAGCGCGCGCGCACCGTAGTCACGTACGCCAGTCGAAATCTCTTATCGGAATTAGAAGCACGCTCGTTTTTCGCTCCGCGCTCGCTTGTTCATACCTCGCAAAGCTTAATATTTGTCGTTATTGTTTGTGTACGCTTTTACTATCTCTTCCGAACTTTCTTGTGCTTGAGACTATCTGTGCTCCTCCTGTACTTTCCTTATGTGTGCTTGTGCAGTAAACTGTATTATACTGTGAATTGGAGTGTCGGACTTATTTCTCGCCGCCTCCCTATTAGATCACAGCTAAGTACAACATTGACATTGATTGCGGCCGATATTAGTTTTACTGGCCGCTGTTAATAAACAAGCTTTAATCACTTGGATTAACTAAACTCGTATTTATCACACAAACATCTGCCCCCATCGGGATTGGAACCCGGGACCTCTCAAGTCGATGACACCATGAAACCCCGGGATTGGAACCCGGGACCTCTCAAGTCGATGACACCATGAAACCCCGCTTACAAACCACTCGGCCACGTAGGTCGTCAAAGGAAAAAATTAAATACAAAACACTGACTTATAATATTTATATTTAAATACTTACACTTATTTACTACTTTTCAATGAGCATTATTAATATTACGTTAAATGGTAGGTCGTGTTTACTTCTTCATTTTTTTTTGTGGTAGGTGTTGAAGCTGAAGTTTGTCATGCTTGTATTGTAATGTAGTGCGTTTATTCCGATACATACGTGATTAATCTGTATTAGTACTGGCGCTGTACATAATGGAACAAGATATACTTTTCTACGTCACTACAAAGTATATCTGAGTATTTGCGTACTGCTCCTGTATGAATTGGAAGAACTTAGTAAAAAAGTTGTTTCCAATCTATACGTGATTAGTTTCCCACTCTTGCGTTCTGGCCTTGTAAAGAATGGAAAGACGCAGAAAAGTCTAAACACGCATCATTTACAGAAATTGTATGTTTTACTAATCGATATTTAATTTTTTTCTTGGCAAAATAGATTGGTATACAATTTTTTTTGTTATTGAAAATAAATAAAATAATTTGCTAATTACAAAAATATAAACTTATTGATAGACATTATAAAAGTATAGTATAAATATATTACAATAGTAAAACGCGTTCAAAGTTCAAAACACGTTGCATAGACTTTTTTGATGAGTATATTTATGAACACAATTTAATTTCTAATTTTAAATTGTAATTCGTTCGAAAGGCTACCAATTAGTATAGAGACATACATGACCAGTTAATAATAGTGATAATAATATTTTTCAGGAATGTGATAACAACATAACTTCGAAGTCTTTGGCTACGATCCTGGAGGAAATTGGCGAAACTAAGGCTGCTCTTATCATCCGACGGCATATAGACTAAGGGCAACCAAAGTGACTTAATGAACTTTTCTTTTTATTAAGTTTAGAACTTAAATAATTAATTATAGTTAAGGTAATGAAATGACATTTATACCTGTTTTTATGAATTATCAATGAAGTAAATGAAAACTGTTTGTTGAAAAAATTATTTTTATATTGACATGTCATGTGGTTTATAGAAATTAATTAAATATCCTTTTGAATTTACAATTGCAGTGTTTTATTAAATGAATAAATAGCAATGGGTGTTGTAGACAATAAGTGGCCATCTATCTATGAGTCATCATCGTCAGTCTTTTGAAAACTACTGGAAGGTTCACGTAACAATTTTTCTCAATGTCTGACGCATTAGAAGATATTTTTTCCTATATTCTACGCCCTTCGTATGGCCACCTCCACTCTCTTCCTCAGCGTGTGGCAGTCGCCAACAAACAAATCTAATTTGCCTAACTGCCTCTCCTTTCCATTCACTATAGAGCGCGAAATAGTATACTGGTTAAAGTACAAATGTTAAGCAACTAAGTACGAATACCTACTCGTATATGTGGTATCCTACAACCTAGAAAGTAACGGGACTGATATAGGGAGCTAAGAATTTCTGCCTGCCGCCAATCTAGAATTGACTCTGCTAGCCAAAACATCACAATGCAATCCAGGTCTCTGTGGTAGGAGTGCGAGTAGGCGGGTGAGCTTCGCGTGGGCGATCGGATACGTGCTACAGACTCGGGCAACGATCGTACGATGATACGATGCGTTCTTGTCGTGCGATGATTTTCAAATATATAGATTTCTAGGAAGGTGAACCAATACAGCTCGTAAGCCGTCGTACGACCACAGGTACATTATTTTAATCGCCCTGTTATAACGAGTCCTGGGGTTGAGGTTTTAAAAAATGAAACGAGATTAAATTAGATTAATTGGCACACAACCGTCACGAACAGTGGCATGAATGGGACTGTCGCTGGCCGATGTCGCAATAGCGACGCTGCACAGTGGTCCGGATTTTGAATATAGTGGTCATAGGACCCAAGGTTAATATTTCGCGCTGAAAAATTTCATACGGACAGATAAGTGAACGCTTATCAACTTTTGTTCTAGCAGTTTTCATGTGATCCTATATTTTCGCGAAAAAAAAATATTTAAGAAAAAAATGTATGGAGCAAAACTGAAATTTTTTTTTTCTCGAAATGTTTAAAAGTATTAGCAATGAAACCAATGTATGTGAATGTATTACATTTATTTATTAATTTCACCATCAAATCTTTTGCATGCACTTGCAGCCTAGGCCGAAACAGGCATCAGAAGTTTCAATTATTTAATTCTAACTACATATTTGTGTCATTTAAAGGATTTTAATCATTTATAGTCATATAATTTTCGTATATTTTCAATATTATAAACTTTAAAGGCATTATTTCCTAAATTAAAATGATTTAGAAAAATAGATAAAAATTATTTTCATATTTTACTTCTTAGTGGTTATCGCTGTTACCCAAAGCGCAGTTAGTGACCGAATGACGTATTGGCTTCTAATTTCCCCCTCCCATTGCCTAATATTGCTATCTCTTTCATTTTCTACTAATGCTATCTCTTTCTCTATTGCTCTCTTTTTCTCGTTAAGACCCTTTCTAGTTGCGTGCTTGTAAATCAAATAAAACAGATGGGAGGTCCGGCTGGAGCGTCAAGAGGACCGCAGATGAACCTTTTCGGATGCACGGACCCATATGAACGAATGTAAACAGTGTCGCCCGTATTATATTGTCTATAATCACGGATGAACCTGGCCTGGCCCCTTGGCCGGCGGGGAATTTCCTTACACACAGCAGCGGGGCAGCGCGCCCGCGCGCGCTGCTCAGGTTCGCGTCGGGTCATCCCCAACTGAGCTGTCGCGTCGCGCTTGCGATCCGTCGCGTACAATGGCAGACCATCCGCCTCAGCGCCCGGCGCAACAGCAATCGCAGCCACCGACCCCGACACCATCACGTGAAGATGAGGGAAAATTCGTAACGCCCGCTCCGCCTACCCACACCTCTCGTAGTCGTCGATCCTCCACGAGTCGCGCTGCAGCGACCGAGGGTGCCGTCAGCGATTCAGCCGAGGCCATCCGGAGATCTAAACAAGTCAAATATGAATTTGACTTGGTTATGATCGCCCGGATGATCCGTACTGGCTACCTGTCAGACAGGTTGAATTGTTGGCTGGCTACCTACGCTCGGTTGCTGGAGCACGAAGTGGGGCAGACACCTGTACTATGTCCGGCCGACGAGCTGGCAAAGGAGGCGCTACGGGCGATCAGCAACTCACCACTCCAGCTGCCTCATATCGACCTCCCCTTCCAACGAAAACGCTCCCGGGACACCGCGACGCCGCCTGAGACGCCCGATAAGCGAGCCTGCCGCTCGCGCGATCCGCGACTCAAGCGTTCGCAAAGCAGCGGGAACACACCGGAGCCGGTAGTATCACCGCAGTCCAGCCCCATCGCAACACCACCACCACCGCTACCATCACCCACCCCCATGACGACGTCGCAAACGCTTGCCGCACAACCACCCCCCGACCCGCGACAGAGGAGGGTAGACGTCGCAATTCCTCCGTCGCCACAAGATATGAAAATACCCTCAATGCCGCAGGTAACACTAAACTACCCTACTTACTCGCAAGTGGTAACTACCATCCCCGCACAGCCGCCCACGCCTGCCGCCACTACAGTGACGACTGCAGCCCCACCAAAACAAACAACAACGACGCAACAGATGACCAATACACCGCCGCCCAGTCCAAAGAGAGAAAGTACCCACCCCTGGTGGTTGAAAAACTACCCGACTGGGCCGAACACTTTAAGGTACTTAACGAACAGCTCAGGAGACCACCAAACACACGGCCATTCGGTACGGGAGTTCGATTCTCCCCGCGGACGGAGACGAATACCGACTGACTCAGGCGTACCTACCTCTCTAATTTAGAGAAAGTACAGGCCGGGATGAGTTGGTACTCGGACGCCCTCCCAGAGGAGCGGAGCTTGAAAATTGCTATCCGCGGCCTCCCATACAACACCGAGCCAGAGCAAATCAAAGAAGCCCTAGCGGCCAAAGGCTTCAATGTTGAGCACGCAAAACGCATCCGGGCGAGGGTAGGTCGCCCCGGATGCATATTTTTCGCCGCTATTAATAGAACCACAGACACAGTGCCGAGAATTTATGCAGTGAAGGAGCTCTTATGCATGCCGGGAGTCACTATTGAATCGCCTGGCGCGGCAAAAAGGGCCCCTCTCAATGTCATAGGTGCCAAGGTTTTCGGCACTCATCTAAAGACTGCCACCGCCCCATAGCTTGCGTGAGATGCGGAGAGCCCCACGCCGCAGCAGACTGCCCCCACCCACGCACCGAGGCAGCTACGTGCGCAAATTGCGGTGGCCCACACCCCGCAAACCATTCCAGCTGCCTGACCATACGCAAGGAAGCTAGAAATAAGAAGGCAAGTACTGTCGCCAAAACTGGCCCCTCAACTGGCCCGCTGACTAGAGCAGCCATTCCGCAGCCCCAGGTAGTCGAAACAACAGAGACAACATTGATGGCTCCAGCAAATGCACCGATTGCCCGCTTACCCACTACCACAACCGAAAAAATCACCACTACCCGCCGCCGCAAAAAGAAACGGAGAAAGAGCACCACCCAGGTAGAAAGAGATGGCAAATCAGAAAGTCAATCTACCTTCAACGTGCAACAAAACCAAATACCCAAACCAGGTGAGAAAAACACATCCCTGGACACGCAACTCTTGCTCACCCAATTCGTAAACACGATGGCTGAGCAACTCAAGTACTGCTTCGACCAAATTACGGCACAAAATTCCGGCCGTTGAAAGTAATGTACTGGAATGCGCAATCGCTCACAGGCAAACGTCGTATGCTCATGCATTTTATGCGTGAGCACGACGTAGACATAGCACTTGTGAGCGAAACGTTTCTCAAACCTAGTATTGCTTTCAACGTCCCGAATTATGTCGCGTATCGGCAGGACGAGTCCGGACAAGACGGGCGCCCCATCAGAGGGCTCCTTCTGCTGATACACAGACGGATTGTGCACCGACCGGCCCCAACAACACAGCTGTCAACCATGTACGCCCTGGGTGTCGATATCCAAACAGACGGCACCGAATTGCGGATTTACGCAGCATACAGATCACCGACAGTTGTGTTCGACGTTAGAGAACTCCGCGAACTCCTCCACCCTTTACTAACTATCATCTCGGGGGACTTGAACGCGAAACACACTACCTGGAACTCCAACATAACAAACGCAACAGGCCGCAAGTTACACCACGACGCCATAACAAATAACTATCTTGTGATGGGCCCGGACGAGCCCACCCGTTACAAATTACCAATGGAAACGGCGACGTGCTTGACGTCGTAATAACAAGAGGCGTAAATGACAGCATTTTACAAGAAGTCATGGCAGACTTACCCTCCGACCACCGACCGGTATTGGTAACTATAAACCGTCTACCTACCAATACAAAATTTTCTACCCTTACCCATCGACTGGGATAGTTTCCGAACCACGGCCGCCCAGCTCACTCACACGCACCCCATCACCACGGCCCACGAAGTCGACGAAGCAACCAAGGAGCTGACTTTGACTCTAGAGACTGCGCTAGACACAGCCTCTCACACCCGCTCCAAAGGTAAGAGCACTTATACTCTGCCCCACCGAGTGCTGGCACAAATCGAGGAGAAACGCAGACTCAGGAGACAATGGCTGAACACCAGATGCCCCACCACGAAAGCGCGCCTTAATGAACTCACTAAGCGTGTCAAACGCGCACTGGAGGAATGCGCCGCGGCCTCTTGGGAAAACCACCTGCTAGCAGTGGGCGATGAAATTCCCTCGATTCACCGCCTCTGCAAGCAACTAAGCACCACCAAAACGGTAACAAGACCCCTCACAGACGCAAACGTTGAGTGGCATTACGCAGCCGTAGACAGAGCGGAAATTTTCGCCGAGCATCTACAAGCACAATTTACGCCGCAATTTAATTTATCCCGCCTCAGACGTCGAGCATGCTTCGGCTATAGAGTCGAGCGTGATTAGACGCCTGAAGGAACAACACGCCACAGACGACCACCCCATTGTCATGACGCCCACCCAGGTCCGGAGAGAGCTACT